GAGATATCTTCTCATGAGCTTTCTTTGACTGCAGAAGCATGCAGTGTTTATTTCTTTTAATCACCACCCACTTGATGCTTTTTACTTCTTAACGGTCATTCCTGCCTGATTTGATGAGTTCTTCGAGGCCATCGCACATAGCAGAATTTGGACCCTTTCACGCGCACCTTTTTTGTAAAATACCAGGCAATGGCGTTTTCAGTTTTCAGGCATAGCGAGAATTGGTCTACTACTGTACCTAACGAGATAAAATGATGATCGAGCATATTAATAAACGTTCCTTTTGATGATTCGATTGTGATTGTCATGCATGTCATGTAAATGATGCCATAGGTACCCAAAGTACCTAATACTAGTAATGTGTCAAACTTAATAGCTCAAAGAGCCTTGTATTGAAGCGTTTTAAATCCCTGACTAAAAAGATCTGATATCGATAAATATCCCCCGCACATCCCACCAAAATATCAACAGCTCTTTTAAACACAACAACTTTTCAGACAACCACATTCAAGATGCATATTCTCGTAAGTGAAAGTTTATATTGTATCAAATATTGGTATTTTAATTGACAATCCATAATAGGTAGTAAATGATGATGGACCTCCATCCAACAAATCGTCTCCCTATGTCCACTCCCTCGTGCAAACTCTCCAAGCCGCCGGCCACATAGTCTCGGTCGTCCTTCCTCATACCCAACGTTCATGGATAGGCAAAGCACACATGGTCGGTCAAACCGTCAAGCCCACGTACTTCAGACCCGGTACCCTTCACGAAGATGACGGTACAACACATGCTCGTCCCTCGAGCGATAATAAAGAAGAATGGGTATTGGTAGATGGCACACCTGCATCATGCGTACAAATTGGTCTTTATCATTATTTCAAAGATAGAGGACCAGTCGATTTGGTTGTCAGTGGACCAAACTATGGAAGAAATAGTACGGCGGTTTTCAGTTTGAGTAGTGGGACTGTTGGGGGGGCGATGGAGGCGGCGATTTGTAAGAGAAAGGCCATTGCGTTGAGTTTTGCGTTCTTTTCGAGAAACCATGATCCAGAAATTATTGCAGGCGCGAGTAGAGTTGGAGTGAAGATTATCGAGTATTTGTATAACAATTGGGGTGAGGGAGTAGATTTGTATACGGTCAATGTTCCGTTGGTGGAGGGAGTAGAGAAGAACAAGATTTTGTGGACAACTATGTTGCAGAACTACTGGGGAGAGGGAAGTTGCTTTGAGGAGGTAGACGGAAAGGACGAAGATGCCGATGAGGAAGAAGAGAAGATTAGACAGAAGGAAGGACAGCAGGGAGAAGGGGATGGAGAGGAGAAGAAGGCTGTCGGACACACACATAAACATTTCAAATGGGCGCCAAGGTTCACAGATGTCTATAAGAGTGTAGAGGAATCTGAACCTGGTAATGATGGCTGGGCTGTTAACGAAGGTTACACAAGGTATGTTCCATTTTAGATGATTGACTTCTTCTGAGACTAACATTACTATAGTGTCACTCCATTAAAGGCAAATTTCATGCATGCTACCGCGGCGACACAGGGAGAGTTGAAGTTGTGAGTTATTAATGGCATATCAATAGAGCATTAGATATTGTTAGACCAATACAAGTTCCTTTCCACTCATTTTGAATGCACCAACGTAATCGAGCACCTCTGACCAATCCTTTCGCCAGACCATCTTCAGATCCAATACCATCTATGTCGGATCTCTCCCTTCAAGAACCCAAGTCAGAACAACCTCATTTCTACGCCTATATCGACTATGAGGATTCCTATGTCCAGCCCTTAATCCTTTCGGCTCTAAAGCAACTCCCTCAATCTTCATATACACTTCTCTCTTCTCCCTCCGACCTCCCAACTCCAGAATCACCATACCTCCACATCTCATCATACGAAACCATCCCTTTCGATGAAATAACATCAAAACCTACAACCTCCCTCACAAACGCTTACGTTATTCGCAAAGCCCTTATTCGTAAACACTATTTGAGTGAAACATCCCATATATGGTGTGTTAAGAACCCTAACTCTATTCTCAAAACAAACATCAAGCGCGCAGAGCATTTCGAGGTCGACTACGCCGAGTTCTTAGATGATGCTGTGGTAGAATGTTGGGACTTGAAGGAAAGTTTTGCACGAAACGAAAAAATTGATGGAGAAGGAGGCAACGCCTCAGATAGAGAATGGTGGATATTGAAACCAGGAATGAGTGATAGAGGACAGGGTATTAGGTTATTTTCCTCTTACGAAGAACTCCTTGCCATCTTCGAAGGATGGGAAGAAAATGCCCCTGATTCCGACGAAGAAGACGAAGAAGTTGAAAATCATGACGATGAAGAGAAAGATTATATCCAAACATCCCATCTCCGTCACTTCCTTGCACAACCATATATCCATCCACCACTTCTCCTCGCCCCAGATGCCGATACATCAGCGCCTAAGAACACAAAGTTCCATATCAGAACATATGTTCTCGCTTCCGGGGCCCTGGATATCTACGTCTATAAATCCATGTTAGCCCTGTTCGCTAGCTCGGCATATATTCCTCCTTGGTCTTCATCCTCTTCTTCCTCGGGCGAAATAGATCTCAATCCGCATCTTACAAATACCTGTATACAAACCTCGGACGCGAAGAAAAATGCCGTGCATCTCCTTTCTTCTCTCCCCTTCTCCGCCTCTCTGCATGAGAAAATCCAATCCCAAATATCTAAACTCACAGCAGAGATTTTCGTGGCAGCCGCGAAGGAAATGAGTATTCATTTTCAACCATTGCCAAATGCGTTTGAAGCGTTTGGACTGGATTTCTTGGTGGATGCGGATGGAGAGGTTTGGTTGTTGGAGGTTAATGCATTTCCGGATTTTGGACAGAGTGGAGAGGAGTGTAAGGCGGTTGTGGAGGGATTTTGGAAAGAGGTTGTTGGGAAGAGTGTTGGTGGATTTTTCGGCGTGGGATTGGAGGGTGGGGAGAAGGAGGGAGAAGGGCAGTTGGTGAGGGTTGGGGGTGTGGATTTGGGGAGGAGATAGATGGGTGGACGGATGTGATGAAGGGGGTGTGGAATGTATTGGGGTGGTTGATTATTGTATTGTGTGTTGACGAGTTAGTGATTTGATGGGATAAATCTGTATATGCTGAGGTACATCATCTTATTTTGAAGTACATGAACAAGAAATCTTTCAGACTCGAAATATACATCTCTTGCTTGAGCCAACACTCTGAACTCTATAGATCCAATCTCACATTTTTATCTCCAACCCCTTATTATAACCTCGTACTACCATATCTATCGTGTGAGCTACAATGGATATGCACACATCCCCCTCACATCTCCCATCTCCCATCTCACATCTACAATCGCAGAAACCACTCCCTAACCAAAATCTCAAAATCTAGTATCAATATTAAATTCAGAATCTAAATGAGAATAAGCCAGACATAAGATTAATTAATCTACTCTGCACGAAACGAACCTAGAATACTGCATGTACGAGGAGTTCATGTATGTATAGCTTTCTTTGATTTGAGTTTTTCTTAGCTATGTTGTTATATGTATACTTCTCTCAAATTTGAGATTCGAGAGGGGGTTGTCTGAAATGGGAATTGGAATTGTGGAATTGGAATTGGAATGGTATTCTTGGGATGTGATTTTATATGATTATGGAATGGGAGGGAGGGAGAATTTCATTTAGTGCATGAGAGCGTGAGGATAGGTGAGAATGAGAGGGAGTTGGATGGAAGAATGAGTAATGGTGTTACGGATTCGTGTTTAATTTTGGGAAGCAATCATAGTTTTGGAGGGGGTCGGGGAGTGTGTAGGTTTCGAGAGGGTATAGCGGGAATCATAGAAGGGACAGGTAGGTAGTCAATATGGATGTGAAAACATACATGAAATGAGAATTGTGACTTGATATTTATGTATGTTGGGTAGACAAGACAAGACAAGGCAAGATGAGATAGTCTAGTCTAGCGTGGTTAGATTTGATTCGAAGGAGATACAAAAGACCACCCACCCACCCGAGCCACCCACCTAGCTACCTACTCAAAGATATCCAGGTTTCTACTAATTATACGATCATCCAAATCATTTGGAAACCTATACATACCTAAGTATACACTAGATAGTCCTTATCTCATTTTATCCTCTTCCCACTCTGTCGAAATGCATACCTATAGAGTCTAAACTCCAGATGTAAAAGTCATAGAAATATGTATATATCATTCTGCAACTTCCCCTCCCCTTTCATCCTCTAACCCCCCTTTCATTTTTCCTCCTCTCCCCTCGATTCCATATCTATCCCATACACACATTACCCAACTATACCACTTCCTCCTTCTCCACCCCTCAGAATCCCCCACAGAATCTTCCATTTCCAGAGATATATCTCAAATCCCCCAATCAAAACAATGAATCAGTATAATCACGCTATAAACGAACCAAAAGCGACACTAGAGCTATACCCCCAACGATATTCCAGAAAGTCAAACAGGCCAAAATACAACATTATAGGGAGCGAGGGAGAGAGATCCAGAGAAAATCATCCCAAGATTGAGAAATGCGAGGCGGTAAACTTGGAGCAGCTAGTGGGGGGGAGTTTGTACGGAGAGAATCTGTGTGAGCATAAGAAGCAGAAAGACTCCTCAGATATACAGGAAACGATGATTGTCAGATATCCGAGGACTCAGTATTTCCAGACTTGTTGTAAATTATAGAGGAGGTTGAAGAGAAAAGCTGGAAAGAGGGGGGGGAAAGAGTGAAAACGGTTTATGGGAGAGAAGAGAAAGTCGGGGATGTATCGTGATGATTTTTGTATCCATTAGCAATGGGTACTTAGTGCTGATTATGTTACTGATAACAAGAAGTCTTCAACTAGCAAGTGGGTATGAGAATCTACTAAATAGGGACATGTAGAATTCGGAAGACAAAATTATGGAAAGAAAGTTGGCGGACAAAAATCAGAAGAGGCATAGAAGAGGCATAGAAGAGGTAGTAAGTCGGGTATGCCATGCTGGCTGCTATTAACTGAATGTACACTCCTACCAATGAAATGGTTAACGCAGGTCTTCAACTGAAGTACGGTATCACAAGACTTAAAAACAAAAACAACTGAAAGCATTCAAATCGTTCGGTATAAATCATTTACAATTCCTTTAGATCCATCATCTGTTCATTTAACAAGCTATTCCATCTTTCCAAAATCTCCCTCATCACAATTCTTCTTCCAAAAGTAGAGGTAAAGAAAAAGCATTCCCCTATTCCCAAATACGCATCCATAGATACCATCTAGATACAGTCCCCCAAAAGATCCACAAGTCATAACATTGAACATAGCATTACCACCTTCGACCCAAAAACTAGAAAACGCCTGAGAAACGCCAGGGCACATTCATATACACTCCAAAGTAACGCTCGCTCAGAACATAGATATCGGGTATCAACTAGGAGTGATTGTATGTTCAATCCAAAGGGTTGTTATATTGTAAAGGCTCTTGAAAGAGACACCTCCATATGCATTCCTGGAGAGCGATTGATTTTGATAGAGGTGTTTTTGCTTAGGCCTTGACGGCGGGTTTCTTAGAAACGGGTTTCTTGGTGACAGGCTTCTTTGGTGCGGGAGTTGCCTGGGAAAGAATGGTATGTTAATAATGTGAGAATAGAAAAGGAGTTTGGGTGAAGATCAAAGTATATAGAAGTATAAATATAACATACCTTCTTCTTGGGCGCCGGCTTCTCAACAGCTGGCTTCTCAGCAGTAGCCTCATCGACTTTTTCCTCAACGGTGTCTGCGGCCTTCTCGGCGGCCTCTTCAATTTTCTCTACAACAGGTTTGGACTATAGAATAATCAATATCTAGTCGTAGATATAGCAATATCTAACATACCTTGGCAGCAACTGTGGGCTTCTTCTTTTGGGCGGGTTTAGCACCAATACCGGTTGGCTTAGATCCCTTAGTTGGAGCAGCAACCTTCTTTCCAGTGTTTGCCTTTGGTGCGGCCTTCTTTTGCTTAGGAGGTTCGACAGGTGCTAGGACAGTCCTGGCTGGAATTTTGCCTAACATATCGAGTTAGTGAAGCTCCAATTTCACGCGATTTTGCGACCGTATATTTCAATAGCTGAAGAATGGGATCTGGGAAATGAATATAAAAAGTAACTCACCAGAGGCGGTTCTAGTGACACTAGGCATTGCTTCCTATGGAGATGAGTTAGTAAGAATGTATGGAGTGGAAGAATCACAAAGATTGGCGCAAGATGAAGGGTAGGCGCGTCAACAATGCGATATGCGATGCAAAATGGGCATAGATATCGGATAGTTACTTACTTTGTTTGAATGAAATGGATTTGATGGTTTATGAAGAGATTGTCGTCGCGTTAATCTATAGATCTGATGGATCAAATTTGAAAGATTTATGGATTGTTGTTGTTTTGTGGGAGAGGAAAGGAAGGAAGATGTGCTGGGAGAGGTGTGGTGTTATGGTCTGGGACCGACCACGAAGCCCGCTAAGCGGAAGGAGACCTTCTCAATTCCATCAAGGCCCAAAATGATAAAATTGTTGTTAATATTTGTATTTATATATATTTGTAATTAATTTGGGGTAAATTTGTATATTTGGAATTTTGATTTAAATGGTGATTGTTTAGCTTTTGATATCATATTTATATATGTAGTCTTTCTTTCTTCCTTTCCCTCTTCTCTTTTTCCTTCTCATTCTCATCTAGTTCATTTTGATTTTCCCTCAACATGTCCCTCATTTCTAGCCATCACGTGTAACACGATAGGACTTCCCTGAAAAGCCCTGGATCTACCCGCTAGAAGCGAAAAAGATGCAAGTTATCACTTATCTTAGCACCAGGTGGGGCAATAACTAGAGCTTGGAAGAGGAGAAGGGAAAGAGGAGAAGGAGAAGGGGAAGGGGAGAAGGGGAAGGGGAAGAGGAGAACAGGAACAGGAACAGGGCACCAAACGCATCGGAAGATAAACAATTCTCCAAGCTTTTTAGTGAAGCTCAAGGGAAGCTGGTAACCTAAAACAGGGGAATCCTGTCTATCCCAAAAAGATGATGCATTTACACGGGACAACATATAAGGTTACAGAGTATGAACATCTTTCATATACGAGTAGAAGGGTTACATTGCAACCTTTTACAGAAAAGAACAACAAATTCAGGGGTTGTGAAATGGTTCATCGTAGTGATGATTTGCAACCTAATAACCCCATCACATAATTAAATCAGAGAATGAATATTCGAGTGAGTATTGGAGATATAGAATGAGATGAAATGATGGAATTGAGCTGGGAGCTTCAAATCAAGAGAATATCAAGTGGTATTTCTTATTAGAGATGTTTTCATATAATTAGTTGAGATATATCTTATACGCTTATGAAGGCATCTTCTATAGGGCATTCAAAAAAAAGAATAGTTTTGAAGTCACAGAATTGTTTTCATTTCTGCTACTGCTTTCCATTCGAAGTTGCACTCTTTCTGCTTCCAACATTTTCATCATCTGTCTCGAAGTTTATTTTCCAATCTACAAAATATTGTGAAATGGGTGACAGCTCCAGTCTTTTATTGGGTTTGCTGTCTTTGATCCTTGATTTTCCCATCATTTTTCCGAGGCCTCTAGAGAGCCCTATATTGTCATGGAAAGAACTGGTGTAGTTGTGAATTAAGGTGCTAGCTAGTGATGTAGGATCCATGGCTCTCGATTATGCACGACCTAAGGTTAATAGCAACAGCGACAATACCCAATGTCGTCAATTCATTATCAATTTGGTGAGCAAGTGCCTCGCCCTCATCTACAATGCTGTAGTTCCCATACGTTGAAGTGAAGTGATGAATGAGTGGAGAGCTGGAAGAATTCTCAGTCCTTGTTACCTCAGGTAATTAATTAGACTTCAATGTTGATTAAACGTTTATTGAGATTTGGTATTTCAACAAATATAATTCCAGAAGTTGGTTTTACTGTGATCCTGTTCTTCATTGTGTGTGTCTACAGTGAATGTGATGGAGTACATTTGTAAGCTACATCAAGTGAGAGTGTTGAAGCTCATGAAACTATCTACCTAGGTAGTATGTTTAGTTGAGCAAGTACAGTGATACTTGATTTTCATTCATAACAGCAGATGTTTTTTTTATTTCTTTAGTAGGCCAGATATTTGCTGTACACTGGTCGGAGATCAATATTAAAATGTTGATAGAAATAGAAATGGAGGAGTTCAAAGGTATCCTGATAAAGGGAGAAGAGAAACCAGTGAAATGAAATGGGGAAACATACGATAATGCGAGTCCAAGTATAGTCACTTGATTCTCTATTTCAGCAACATCCATACCATGAAATAGTACACAAAAGAAATCAAGGTATAGGAATGATACAAATTGTAATGAGAGGTTCTTTATTCATCCATCTATGTTTTGGTTGATGTTGTATCTCAGGTTCTCATAATAACATATCACTACTATATTCCACTTTCACATTTCACATTTCCCCTCTTGATTTCACTCTCAGCACATACATCCAGATATTCCTATCACAAATAAACAACATGATATTTCTATTCCATATATGATTTTCATCTGCACTTATAAAACACGCAGTAGACAGTATGCTAGACTACCTAGTATAAAACTCACCATATCTATGCATCACCATCATCATCCAACAAAGCTGTAAACATTCACACAAGATGATATGTTTCCAAGGAAGAACAAACTCAATCAATACCAAAGAATCAATATGGTGGATCTTCCTCTGCTCTTCCTTTTTCCGCCCTGCCCCTCTCAAATACTTTACTTTTTCAATGGAAAAAAATAACTAAATATTTAGAAATCCTCCTTCAAACACCTTGATTCAAATACCAATAACACCAACGTATCAAGCCTAAACAAGCCAATAGTAATAGAGTAAACAAGTTTTATTTTCATATACAGTATACTTATCACTTCATCATAATACAGCATACAATCTCCACACTCTCTAATATGAATGAACATCAATGATTAATAATCCCTGGTACCTATTCATGACGATGAATTCTATCTCTTTACTCTCTCTCCTTCTGTATACCCTCTCCTTCTATACCCTCTTCTTCCCCCTTCATCTAGTATCTCCTCACACCTCCCACATCCCAGATCTACTTCACTTGTTTTCAATTTCCCTCCAGAATCATACTCGAGTAGAAATACTTCACTCTCTCTCCATAACTCTATTCATACCCACCCCTCACTCATCAACCCCCCCCCCCCAGAATATCTACTCTAATCCGTCTCCTATGCTATTAACACAACCAGTGAGTGAAATCTACTTACTATTACCATCTTTAATCTTTAATCTTTAATCTCAGCCTCCTCATTCTTTCTTCGTTATTACTATCTCAGTCCCTGGGCCTGGGTATCTCAAAACTCGAACTTTATGTGAACTTTGCAGTATGAGTTATTAATTATTGGGCAATGTGAAATGATACAAAATTATATAACATAGTGTAGTCCGTACAGTACAAAACTTCTCTCATGCCTATCTCTACACCTCGGCATCTCTTTTAATACTCATTTTCTCATGCTCTCATTATCTCTTTCATCCATCCATCCATTCATATCATTCTTTCAAATTTCTCGTGTTTCTTGTAGCAGTGTTGATGAGGTATAGAGTAAATGGAGTTTGGACAATAATGAAGAAGTATAAAACTATGAAGTGTAAATGAACCATCTAAGGAACCTTCCTCTCTCTTTCTCTCCCTCTCTTTCACCCGCTCGCCACCAGTCTCTATTGATCAAAAGAAAAACATCTTCCTGCAGTCCCCTTTCTCTTCCCCTTACCTTCCCAAACCGAAATCCCACCCTATTCCCATCCAATTCCATACTAACAATAAATTCTATACCCTATATCCTTACTGCTCATCGAATCAAATCAAAATATCAATATAACAAACCAAATACCCTTCTATTCCCATCATATCCACGAAATCCATAACATCTAGTACAGCACTGTGAGTACAAATACGAATAGATCCATATACAAATACATAAATCTTTCCCATTCATCCATTCCTCTATTCTTCCACGCTACAAACTCATCTCATCTCAACTGACCTATCTCCACCCACGATCCCCTTCCACAATCCCCACATCAATCCTCAAACATCAGAAACAGAGACAGGGAATCTCTAAAACATACCTAGGACTACCAAACCAACCATCCAACTAAGTATCACCCCCACACCCCTCCCAAAATTCATAGCACAATATCAAGATTTTCCTAACGTAGTGTGTACACTCTAACATCTCAATTGCCCTCAATATCCTAACTTATCTTATCTCACCATATTAAATTCCGTCAAACCAACCAATCACTCACCCCTTGCACCCAAAAAGTTGTTCCTTCATTCCTTCCCTCTCCACTACTCCCAGCGTGATGATCTCCTATCCCCAAAAGAGCAGATCTAATATCTACCACCTACCACCTACCATCTGCCTCCCACACACATAGACGACCAGCCAACCATCCAGCCAATTCATCTATTCGCTCCCATTAAATCAACAAACAACAAACGCGACAATCCAATCATCCAAAACCTCAAAGTTCCAATCCCGAGAATCGATAAAGAAGCAACAGATGAAAATTTTTCCTCTCAAGATATACAATAGAGTTAATTGTAAAACACAAATCACGCATCACATATCCACCCAACCCCCATCCATACAACCGATCGATCAATGAACAATCTCATCGGTAATGTATGTATGGATAGATCTCTAGCCCATGAGCCGTAAACATCTAAAACTAAAAAAAACTAACCCTATACCCAATAACTTATTCCGACTCCGATCTCTCGATTTTCATCCCATTGCATTCCATCCTTTCCCATGATTCTCATCTGATCACTTAAACATAGACATAAACGTCAACAAATGTATATGGTGTATGTATATCCTCGATAAACAATGAATAATAACACGACGCGTAGAACCCTTCTTTCCCCTCTCTCATGCGTAGCATGCGTAGTGCAGTTGTATTTCTACAATTCCACTTCCGCTTCCGTGATTTTAATCCGCATGGAAGGAAAACGGGGGGAAGGGGCATAGAGATTCTCAATTCGTTGTTCTTGTCGTTGAGCACATTGAGTATAAATAAATGATTGCAAGATACGTAAGTACATGGTCACATACAAATCTACTTCCTCGCCAAGGTAACACAACACATCTCCTCTCGTCTCCATCTATCCTCCAACTCCTAGCATCCTTGAGGCTGTGAAGACTGCGGGATAAGAATCATAATACAGCGCATACATAGCGGGCTGCGGTTCGATATACGATACGATACGATACGCACAGCCGGGATAGAATACGTGTATGCATGTATGCTTGATACATGTGGTATGTCACCGTGGAATCTGAATGGGATGGAATGGAGCTACTTAGCTAGTACTTGTTAATTGCGATGTACACGAGGTAGGTGGGTATGTGTGTGGGGGGAGGGGGCGGAGGAGATGTATGCATGGAGTGCTCGTGTGGTGATGAGATGTGGATGCATACATACACACACACACATATACTTATATAGATAGTGTCATAGTGCCATTGGGAATCGACAATTCCACATTCCTTGTGAAAAACATTTCAGATACGAATCTGCCACATGGAAGTGTGGCTGAGGTGATTTGCCTCTTGATTCTGAATCAGGGAGTATTGGGTTGAGTCTTGCGTCTCAAGTCTCGAGTCTGGCTGTGAAAGCGCGACAAATTCATCGCGGCTTATACGTACTTACACTTGCAAGCAGATACATCATGATCAGCAGATACCGTATGAATAATGAGAGTGCTAACACCCATCACCCATCCATTGTAGCTGAAAGCTTCTCGGCAAGATATTCATCACCATAGCATAGTATAGACAATATCAAGGAACGAACGAACTAACAAATCGCCCATCCATCTTGCACTTCGCCGGCTTAGCCAAGTACATACCAACACAACCGTATTCGAATTCGCGCTTCCATGCACAGGCAAAATGACAAGCACAGTCCCATCACCATTACTATCTCAGAAAGACGTACATTGAAAACCTGATACGAAACATAACATAACATAACACAATATTCAAGTCAAGAATGAATAACAAGCCAAGGTGGCTTAGCGAAAGATTCATCTCTCGTACAGGTACATGAAATTGCGGGGTGGAGCTCTGGACTCCATACGATAGTATTCATCTCCGAGCGCTTATAAAAGCTTGAAAGATCTCGAGTCTTGATAGCTTATCAAGGTATCTACCATACGCATAGATACGGTATAATGCTAGTGAGTGAGTGAAATGATCTAGAACGACGATCATAGTGTTCCACATCTACACAGCCTTCTTGGTTCTGCTGAAAAAAAAAAAAAATTCTCGCCAAAAAAAAACAAGTCCTGCTTGAAAATGTGATGTGATTAAATGGTGTGATAGATAGCCATCTAATCACTAGTTACAGCAAAGAGAACATTATCTTACCGTTACACGCCTAGGTATCAAACCGATAAGCTCCCACGTCGTACTAAGCGACTGCGCCCCCTTTACCCCGATTTTGTTGCCACCTTATCACAGCGTAGAACGCCGTTTCCGGCAGGTACAAAACATTTTTGATGGATAGAAAGTCCAAAGAAGAAGGAAGAGAAGGTTACGATATGATATATCCAAGCTTATTTTAATTTGCCTTTTACAGAGCCCACCGGTGTTTGCGAGCAGTATCTGATCTGATCCGGCGGAGGTCAATAGATAGATAAGCACGAGGACATTATGAATTTAACCGAATGCATGGCATACAGACGCAGTGTTGAAACCGGAACCGAGAATTGCGTCTTGGGCAATATGGATAGCTGTACATTCTTCAGAATTCTCCGATGTCCGCCTCGGGTAACCCCCAAAATTGAACTCGATGATTCTTTTTCTTTGGAGGCGCAAATGGGCGTATCTCGAAAAATCTGGTACTCGCTACCAAGCATAGCCAAGAGGGGCATTGCTCTGGGCACAAGGAAGAATTTGGAATATCTACGCGAATCAAATGCCTCAAGGCGAGGGATATTGAAGGAGGCGGCGCCTGATGAAGTGTACGGAACACTCTGTAGAGATGTAATTTTGTTGATCAGGCAATCGACGTAAATAATTGGAGGGTGGGAAGCGAATAGGAGTGCACGGTGGGAAATTCCTGTGATTCTGTAATTTTGGCGGGCGGGTGTATCGAAGTAGAGGAAAGTTCGAACGGATACCGTGATCCAATCCAATGATGAATCATGAATTAGAGAGAATATCATCAGCCTTCTCTCAAAGGTGTGGTAATCCTTGTCTATGGTATTCTCAACCCCCAACATGAGATTTGAGGATTTATCAAACAAACGTTTATCATAAATGATAATTTATGAAAACTTTTATTAGTCTGAGGCATCCTATGGATTCAAGAGGTTTCTGACAGGTATAGCTCCGATCCTATAGATTACATGCCAAGGTTGATGCTTGATGTCGTCGATTCTGGAAGACTTCAATGTGGAGAAGAATTTGTTTGAAAAAACTCTTTTTCCTCTGCCGCGTTTCAAGTGAGGGTGGTGCCGTCATTATTAGGGCAACATATTATACCGGTATATCTTCGTTTCGAATGGTTGAGATGGGGCAATTTGTACTACAACACATGCTCTAGCTGTAATATTAAGGCGACACAAACTTGCATGTGCAGATGGGGATGGATGAGAGCATACTCACACACTCACACACTCACATACCCCCATATTGATTGTTTGGTACGACCGTGATCATCCGTTTCCCTCGTACAGTTGTTGAATGGTTGAAATCCATCAAAATGCCTCAAGTTGATGGTTGATGATATCCGATTGATAATTGATTGGTGATATGGTATGCCAAGCAAGCGTTCATTGATCAATATAGGGAATCTCTTTGACCTCTTTGATTGGAGACAACAAATATCCAAAGTTGTTGTGACACTTCCAAGCATTTTGATCATCATATTCGATTTCTTCTAGCTCTCTCCCTTTCCTCCACCCAAATCATCTGTCGATGTAATAGTTGAGTTGGGTTGGCTTGATTAGCTTGGACTTTCCTTTCTGGCACAAGGTCTTGGAATTCCATCATGTCCTGATAGTGAATAAATAATAGTCTTTGATGATGACGACGATATTGATAAGAAGATAGAAACGAGAGACATCAATACCAACCACTGAATCCTGAAATTCTGAGCTGTGACGGGATTCAGTGAAAGCCCCGATGTGGAGTATCATGGAGGAGAAGGAGAGCTTTCAAATTCAAAGTGGAGAAGGTGCCTGAGTAGGACTAATCCTCATCAAGTAATCCAGTAATCACCCAATTCCCGTAGGATGTCTAGAACATCGGAATGAAAAGCTTGTCTGTGATTATGCTACCTAGGTAGGATAAGTTGAGTGGGAAGCTAATCCGGATAAAGTAAGATGGAAAGAGTTGGCCATAGGATGGCAACAAACGGGCGGGTCTTCCAAATTGGTGTCCGTTTGTTTTGTTTCCCATGTCGAGTGCCGTGGGTTTTTGAATGTGTGTTAATCGACATTGAATCGTGATTGTGATTGTGGTTGTGACTGTGTTGTGATGATGAGTTTGGGTTGAATAAAACACAGCAAGAGATTGCTGTGCTCAAGTAGGTAGGTACGTTCTAAATCATCATCATCATCTTCTTCTCTCTCTCTCTCTCTCTCTCTCTCTCTCCCTCTCTCTCTACCTAGGTAAAAGGTATATCTACAATCAAATGATGATGATAGTGATGAGGATGAGGATGATGATGATGATGATGATGATGATGATGATGATGATGATGAAATCCAATCAAACTTCCTTATCGTTTTCTTTCTTTTCTTCTCCTGTACTCCAGTCTCGACTCTCCAGTCTCTACCGCCCTTTTCGTTTCGTGGGTAGGAGTTCTCCAAAAGGATCCGTGGTGTATCGATTGTTCATTCGTTCATTTGTCCAATTTGTTCCATTGACGCTCTGTTGCAAAATAAAGTTTTCTTGCACTGCCTCAATGTAAAAGGCTTGGCACTAACCCTGTCCAAATATCTCCTCTCTCTCACTGAACTACTTTTCTCTATCTATGCCTACCTACCTATCCTATCGTGGGTTACTACGGTCTTACGATTCTACACCGCGTACTCCTTGAAATACATTGAACTCAAGAACAATAAGAAAGTTTCAAAAGAAAAGAAAAGAAAAAAAGAGAGTAGAGTGCTCGGTTCCTTCAATATCAACTTCACCAAGCTACAGGAGAGCTTGTTCTTGTTGTCGCAAACTATATTGATTTGCGAATGGATCGAAACCTCTTGGAGCCTTTCAATCACCAAATTGCGCCTACCTCCCAAGGAAATTCCAAGCCATTGACCGCCAAACACTTTTGGTGAAGTTGCAAGTCAAAGTGTTGTGGCCTGTTTGATGTACAAGTCCTCTAGGTGAGCTATCATACTCCTCTGCTGTTGTTCATATCCACAATTGCACAAGGCTTCAATAACCCTTTCCCCTTCCTTCTTCTCTTCATCGTGGTTTCTCTTGGATATTCTTCTCGGACAATATTTTTCGACCAACTTTCTGTCATGATTATTGGAAACTGGCATGTGAACAAAATTTAAAGGTTCATTTTCACATAGCTTGGAAGACCTTGGCTTATATATCCTTTGACTCTCTAGATTTGCGCTTCCATCATCCATAACACAGCCTCTCTTCGATGCCTACGAGTCATAAGAACCTTCATTCCATCAAATAACCGCCAAGGCTTGCGCCTCGGGCTGTGTATTGACGAAATAACGAAAGAGAAATCAATTTAGTATGTCCGACTCAAGTGGAACTTCTCCAGCTCCAAGCTCGGGGGCGAAGAGGCAAAGAGCGTAAGTCTTAGACTCCTTACTTCCTATACATACCAACAATTCCATGCCCAAAATGGCTAATGTTTCACCGAGTAAAGTCCTACGATAACAATCGATACTTCTGCTGTTCGTAACATGAGTCCACCTCAAGCTATGGATAACGACGCGGTTGCTTTGAGGGCTCTACCCAACTCCCCTTCAACTTTACAAGGCGATATCAGTCCTACGACATATGATGGAACAGGATCACAACCTCGAGCTCCTCATCATTCTAGTCAAGGAAGTCATTCGTCGATACCACAATTAAGAGCAACAAACTCTTTTGACAGTCGAGACAGCAGGCCGACATCACCACATAATGTCTCATCACCAACGTCGAGAGGCACCCCGGGATTCCTAGCAGTTCCTGGTCTTCGATCACGACAGAACTCGATTGAATCTGACGATGGAAACCATTCAAATACAAATTACAGTGGAGACACCTGCGCTGGAGGTTCAACCGCAGGACAGATGGATAAACACAGAGAGTTGGATGGAAATAATGATATAATGAATGATCCGGATGCTTTGAAGCCGGATCTAGGAACTGAAGAGGACTTTGAAGTTGAGAACAACAGTTTTGGATTCTCTCAAGGACAACTTAACAAATTAGTTAATGGTAAAAGTTTGGCGGCTTTTTACGCCCTCGGAGGTCTTGCAGGGTTAGAAAAGGGATTACGGACGGATCGAAAAAGTGGTTTGAGTGTGGACGAGCAGTCATTAGATGGAACGATATCTTTCGAGGACGCAAGAGCTGCCGCGTCTCGAGATTCATCGGATCTCAGTGAACAATCGAAATCCTCGAAGCACCCTGTAGCTACCAAGGTGTCTTCGTTGCCATCAACAGGATCTGGACATGGTCAATCGCATACTCAAGCACAGGGCGCTTATTCTGATCGAAAGCGCGTCTTCAAGGATAATCGATTACCTGAGAAGAAAGGCAAAAGCATTTTCGAATTGATGTGGATTACTTATAATGACAAGGTTCTGATCCTGCTATCGATAGCAGCCGCGATATCTTTAGGTGTTGGGCTTTATCAGACATTTGGAACGAAACACGACTCGGAACATCCTCCTATCGAATGGGTCGAAGGTGTCGCTATCATTGTAGCCATTCTGGTTGTGGTCATTGTGGGATCCCTTAACGATTATCAAAAGGAACGCCAATTCGTCAAGCTCAACAAGAAAAAGGAAGATCGCGATGTGAATGTGATTCGGTCTGGAAAAACTGTGGAAATCTCGGTATTTGATGTTTTGGTTGGTGATGTTATGCATCTGGAACCAGGAGATATGATTCCCGTGGATGGAATTTTCATCGAAGGACACAATGTTGTTTGCAACGAATCTCAGACAACCGGAGAGTCCGATCTGATCCGAAAGCGACCAGCTGATGATGTCTACAATGCAATTAAAAATCACGACAGCTTGAGGAAATTGGACCCTTTCATTCTCTCAGGGGCACAGGTCAGTGAGGGAGTCGGAACATTTATGGTCACAGCTACAGGTGTGAACTCTATGTATGGAAAGACATTGGTTGCACTTCGAGAAGATCCTGAGTCAACACCTCTTCAGACAAAATTGAACACGCTCGCCGAATACATCGCAAAGCTTGGTGGTGCTGCAGGTTTACTTCTCTTCATCGTCCTGTTTATCGAATTTCTGGTCCGTCTCCCTAAAAACCACAATACCCCAACCGAAAAGGGTCAAGAATTTCTCAACATTTTCATCGTCACAGTTACAATCATTGTGGTCGCTGTTCCCGAAGGTTTACCGCTTGCCGTCACATTGGCCTTGGCTTTTGCTACAACTCGCATGTTGAAGGATAACAATTTGGTTAGACATCTCAAAGCTTGTGAGGTCATGGGAAATGCTACTACTATCTGCTCGGACAAGACTGGTACTTTGACTCAAAATAAGATGTTGGTCGTTGCAGGAACCTTAGGAACCAGTTCTCGATTTGGTGGCATAGTTGAATCGCTTGACAAAGATCAAGTGGACAAAGGCAAACAACCACAGCGAGAAGTAGACAATTTGTCGCCCGGAGAAGTGGTATCTACATTGGATCCAAGTGTCAAGGAATTAATCAAGCACTCGGTTGTTCTGAACTCTACAGCTTTCGAGGGTGAGGTTGAAGGCCAAAGCAGCTTCATCGGTTCCAAAACAGAAACTGCACTCTTACTTTTCGTACGAGAACACATCGGACTTAGCTCACTCGACCAAGAGCGTTCTAATGCCACCATTATCCAATTGATCCCCTTTGATTCAGGCCGAAAATGTATGGGAGTTGTTGTACAACTTGACAATGGAAAATATAGGCTCTACGTTAAGGGTGCTTCTGAGATTCTTCTCGAAAAGTGCTCGGAAATCATTCGCGACCCAACTAAGGACGCTAGCAGCGTTCACATGACCGATGATAATCGTCAAACTTTGACTTCACTCATTGACAATTATGCTTCCCGATCGCTCCGTACCATCGCCCTCGTATACAAAGATTTCGATAGATGGCCTGCCAAGGGCGCTCGAATCATCGAAGGAGAGAAGAACCAAGTTGTTTTCGATGACATTTTCAAGCAAATGGTTCTCTTGGGTATTGTAGGAATTCAAGATCCTCTTCGTGATGGCGTTCCCGAGGCGGTTCGTATTTGTCAAAACGCTGGTGTGGTTGTTCGCATGGTTACTGGAGACAACATGGTAACTGCTAAAGCTATTGCCGAAGAGTGTGGTATCTACACTCCAGGTGGTATCATCATGGAAGGTCCCACTTTCCGAAATTTGAGTCAGGCCAAGAAGGAGCAGATTATTCCACGTTTACAAGTACTTGCACGATCCAGTCCAAAAGACAAAGAGGATTTGGTTAAAGCTCTCAAGAAACTCGGCGAAACTGTTGCAGTTACTGGTGATGGTACCAATGATGCGCCTGCCTTAAAGAAGGCTGACGTTGGTTTCTCTATGGGTATCGCTGGTACTGAGGTTGCAAAGGAAGCTTCTGCTATTATTCTTATGGACGATAACTTCAACTCCATTGTCAAGGCTATGATGTGGGGACGTGCTGTCAACGATGCAGTAAAGAAATTCTTGCAATTTCAAGTTACTGTCAACATTACTGCCGTCCTTCTAACCTTCATTTCAGCTGTTGCCAGTTCGGACGAAACATCTGTTCTTACTGCTGTGCAATTGTTGTGGGTTAACCTTATTATGGATACTATGGCAGCTCTTGCATTGGCTACCGATCCACCAACCGCGAGTATTCTTGACCGAAAACCGGACCCAAAATCTGCACCCCTTATCACTATGACGATGTGGAAAATGATTATTGGCGAATCAATCTATCAACTTACCATTACCTTACTCTTGTTCTTCGGTGCTGAAAGCATTCTTTCTTATCAATCAGATCGGGAAATCGCACAGATTCCAACTCTTGTCTTCAACACATTCGTATGGATGCAAATCTTCAATCAATGGAAGTAAGTATTTTCTAAACCCCAAAACTTTGAATCCATACTGACTCAATATAGCAACCGTCGTCTTGATAACAAGTTCAACATCTTCGAAGGAGTCTCTCGCAATTGGTTCTTTATAGGAATCAATGTCATCATGGTCGGTGGTCAGGTTATGATTATCTATGTTGGTGGCAAAGCTTTCAATGTGGTTCATCTTAACGCAGCTCAATGGGCATACTCTATTATTCTTGGGTTCTTGTCTATCCCAGTTGGAGCTTGCATACGTCTCATCCCTGATGAGTTACTTATCTCGCTGGTTCCAAGCTATTTGATGAACCGAAAGAAGAACCCAGAAGTTACCATCTCTGATGAGGAAGAGCAATTCAGATTCCCTAAGCCATTGGCAGATGTCAAAGAAGAATTGACTTTCCTCAAGAAATTCAAGGGTGGTCGATTGAATAACTTGAAATTTGCAATGCAACAAACTCGCGATCAATTATTGCCACGTTCTAGGAGTGGTTCTCGATCAAGAGAAAATTCTATAGCACCAGGAACACCTTCAGACGATCCCAACCGTGAGGACGCTTTTGGCAAGAATGGCTTCTCAACTCCTGAAACTCGCAAACGTGGACGAAGCACCAGATCTCGATCAAATTCAGCATTGGGTGCCACAACTGTCATGGCAGGTATCATCGCTGGTAGTGTTGCTGGATGGTCTCCGATTGAGAGAAACTACGGTGAGAGCGACGCGATGGGATTTACACGTTCTAAAGGAAGATCGGAACTGGAAGCTTCTGATGAAATTCAAATTCACCCAGATACCAAGCCAGATGATCCAATCATCACCGAAAATCCAACTCATCTCAACGCTCCACCATCACAAATCTCGGAAATCTCTCCAGTCCCTGCGGCTGATATTCCGACATTGAAGATTCCTACCCCAACAAAGAAATCTTCAAACGATGAATAACACCAATTTCATTCATCATTTATTTGATAAGTACAGAACCCAGACTCTATGTAGATATGTAACTTTACATTAGCGCTTGAACCCTCGTTTTGGGGTTTTGCTCTTCATCGCGAAAGTCATTGTGCTACTCAACATGAGCACTCGGCGTAAAGGGTGGAAAGAAATATACAACTATGGCGTTTTACCTTCAATTATTCCTTTTTTTTATTTAGCTTCAACGACGGTCTTTTTAATACACATACCACATTTAAAGTTTTGCTGAGGGTGGAGGAGATAAAGGATGTAGATAGTCGAGATGGAGGGATGGATCAGTGGGTGAGCGGAGGAGGAAAAGAGCGACAGACAAAAATAAGATACCAGCTTAGTATGTTTTTGAGCGAATTAGATATGAATATGAATGAGATATTGATAGCGAATGAACAATCGCCCGGGATGTTTTTATGGATAGATGGATGGATCGTGATGAATGAAGGAGAATGGATGGATGTAGGCGTGCATGTGTGTACGCATAGATTTTTAGTTTATACCTGCCTTGAAGTTGGCACATTAGGGAAAATTACAGATCAATGTGACAGAGGAACCATAAAATTGATGAGTACAGTTGTGCACCGTGTGATTGACTGACTGATTGATTGATTGATTGATTGATAAATATGCTTACTACCCATACTACCCTGTATCTCCATGAACAACCCTCAATAAAACCCCATTCATCCAAAACCCCTTGCTACCGTATGTATTACGCGATTGACATGAAATTCTGACGGTACCCATTCTTACAGATGAAGTGTGTGATCGACCCCTAAGAAACTCTATGTATATGCGCCTGCCCTGGACAGATTTTCTATCTGCAAGGGTTTGTCCATGGACATCCAAATTGGCAAATTAAATAATGTGAAGAAAACGACCCCCCTAACGCCATGTCGTTATGTGATTTCGCATCCGTAGACCAGACTCCGGAGCTCAAGTCTTGGATGAGGTAGCTGTTGATGCCGGTGCCGGTTTTGGTTCGGGGTAGATTTGTTTGAAGTCATGACGATGGAGATGGACGGAGTGCGTCTTGAATTCAACTTCTTGATCTTTGGGAATCATCGCGTGATTGAGCTCCCAACCTAACTCCTTGCACAATTTCGAGACGACGATGTCGCATTCGCCGATGAGGTCGATGTCGAAAGCGAGGTGACAGATGGGATCCCGATTGATTTGAATTTGTGGGACGTGGCTAGGAAGGTATGGAACTACCTCGCTGACTGGTGCGACTTTCAAGGATGTACCGATTGTGATGACGAGATCGACTTGATCTCTATCATGGTTGCTGAGTCGATCCGAGAAGCTATCGGGAAGATTTTCGCCGAAGAAGGTGATGTCAGGTTTCATGATGCCAGGTTCGGGAATATCATCACTTTCATTGTCATCACTATATTGTCCGTTTTTTTTCTTCTTGCCACCTGTCGAATTTCTCTTACGCTTGCGAGAGATAGCTGATTGAGAATCAGGTGGGCAATTTGCCCTTTTGCATCGTGGAATTTTCCCAGCTTTGATCTCGCCAAAAATTTTGTCTCCATCTACCTGGTGTCCGCAACCTTGACATGTGGCGGTTGCGAACGACCCATGGCAGTGGATAATCTTTTCTGGAATTATTCCCGCGAGGGATTCGATATTGTCAATATTTTGTGTGTAGTTGGTGAGTAATTTGCCTCTTCTTTGCAAAATTTCGATAAATTGATGGGTTGGGGAGTATCGAACGATTCCTGGCAGAATGGCCTTTGCAACATCAAAAAAAATTGATGGATCTTCTTTGAACTTATTAATGTTGAAGATCTCTTGAGGATCTTCGAGACCTAGGTGTCCGTACTGTGCGTAGAGTCCATTTTCAGATCTGAAATCGGGTATGCCAAGAGAAGTGGAAATACCAGCGCCGGTGATGACAATGATTTTCTGGGCATGTCTAATGAGGTCTATAGCATCGTCGAAAGTGTTATACGTCGGGATTTTGATACGCTTCTGTAATTCACGGCGTATAGCGAAACTTAGAAACTGATAGTATTCTTCGTCGGGTAGACCTTCAAGGTGCATTGGTGGGAGGACACCAAACGCAGTCAAGAGCTTTTTAGCGGTGATAGCGTCCGCTTCCACTGTAACTGCACAGAATTCTCGGGGTCCGAGTTTTCGAAGCAAGTTACGATAATGCTCACTTTCCTTACGAGTACATCGCTCAGGGTCAGAATCTGATATCTATTTTTAGCATATTTGACGATCGGAAGATAGGGGTGAACTTACGATTATCAAGAATTTCATCATTAGTTAAAGCTTCTACCGTATCTGCCATCAAACTACTATCCATAGAACCATCGTCATCTTCACCACCACCATCATCATCATCATCATCATCATCGTCTTCTTCTTCCTCTGCAAATTCGTCTCCAACACTGTTTTCATTGGCATCTAACGCCGCTTCGAGATCCTCCGACGCTGCATTTTGGTGGTGCTGTGGTGTGCCACGTGAACTATCACGAACGACACCGTGGGGCGCTGCATCATCAATTTCCGAAATTTCCTCATCGGAGACCAAATCGATGACTTTTGAAGAGGACATCTTGGTAGAGCCTACACCGTTTAATGTAGCGGAACTCATACTGGATGAACCAATCTTGAAGTCTGATATGAAAGATTGGGATATCGAGAAATGGGTGATGTGGAGAGTGGAGATATTTCCCAGGAGGTGTGCGTTTGCTTAGCTTAGGACAGGGCTCGTTAGGTTAGTCTATTATGCACGTGCACAAATTACAGTAGTCAAGAAGAGACCCTTGTGAAGTTATTAGTCATCATTGGGTACTGAAGACTGGAATTGGATTCAAATTCAATAAGAGGTTCATGAACAGGGGCTTCTTTAAGAAAAACGGAAAAAGGAAAGAAAGGACCTGAATTCGTGCCCGTGGACCTAAGTACGAAGTAGGTAGTTTATTCAACTGCCCAATGTGGATATTCCTTTTATTAGACTTATCCCACAATGAAGCTTTTAAGTTTCCCTCATACCGCCCAAAGACTGAAGATCAAAATAAATCCCAAGTCCCCATATTATTTATTATTTTCTACCTAGTGGAGACATGAAAGGTGGAAACTTGTAAACATAAACTCTCCTATTACTTGGAACTACCGGTACTCTCTTTGTTTTACCCATATTCTCAATTGAGTCGGGAAATGCATTTGAATAGTCTCATTTGCGTCATAGTTTCTCGTCATTCTCCGTTTGATCAGCCACAATGGCTTCCACCAGAGACAGTGAAGATAACAATCAATCATCCCCTCCATCATCCCCTCCTCCTCCTCCTCCTCCTCATATCATTTTCTCTACTCCATCCTTCACTCCCAGGTTCGGTCGAAGGGAGTCAATTACAGCAGCAGCAGATGATGGCTCACACATTCGTCGAAGGCTTCACAAGCCCGTCGTGAATATTAGATCTCATACTAATGATAGACATATCCGAGTACAAGAACCAGAAGGAAGTCAAGCAAAATCGCCAGCTGCGAGTATATATATGGGATCATATACTCCACGACGATCAAGATCTCTGGCTGGTTCAAGACCTGGTTCTATCAAAAGTCCTCCAACATCAAATCCAGCTTCTCCTAGAAGCAGTTTCAGTTTTAGTCATAGTCACATGAGCCACTTGTCGGACCTTCTACAAGATTATAATTTAGATCTCGAAACATATGGCGTTGAAGAATTGAGAGATGGGTTTTTCGATGCTGCCTTCTTTAAGCCGCCGAAAATAAGTCATGAAGAGCTCATGAAAGATGCAGAGTTCACATTGCCAGCGGGTTTCAAGAAGCATCATCCATTGTCATTAAAGCGTTTCTTCCCGAGACAATGGCATGGAATCAAGGAAATTTCCAAACAATTGGTGACTACACGAGCTGGTATCAAGCTCATCAAATCGTTCCTACCTTTCTTTATTTCTTACATTATGTGTTTGGTTCCCGTTATCAGAAATTGGCTCGGTCGTTACAATTACATTATGGTCATATCGACAATTATCAACCATTCAGGTCGAAGTGTTGGCGCTCAGATTGATGGAGCGATACTAACGATTGTTGGAACTGCGGGAGGACTAGGGTGGGGGGCTTTTGCGCTGTGGCTATCAGATTCTACGGCCGTTGCCAGAAGAGGATATGGAGGAATTCTGGCCGCTTTCCTTCTTGTTTTCATGGGCATGATAGCGGCACTCCGTTCGTATTACATTAGATTGTACCAACTGGTGCTGTGTGCTGGGATGGCGGTTCTATTTACCTGCCTTGCCGATACATCTGAGACTATTGCTTGGAGGGTACTATTTGAATACGGTATACCATGGTTGATTGGTCAAGCTATTGCTCTCATAGTGTGCTGTGTTGTAAGTGAAGTTCCTTTTCATAATTATCCCGGGAAAATTGTTTGTCGGTGAGACTGTTGTTATTTCACTCTGTGAGTCGTGCCCATATTGGAACTTGGCAGAAAATTGCATCTTCGGAATTCAATCAACCCTTTGCCTCCCACATCAGACACCGCTAACATCATCTAGGTGGTTCCTGACGCTGGCGCAAGATCATTGGCTGTGAGCTTACACAATGCTTTTGAAATTATGCAAAAAGGACTCCAACTCCCTCAATCAGAGCCAGTCACTGTTCATAGACAGCTGGCATTTACTTTCGTCAACCTTTCTCAGGCATACAGAGATCTGGTTCTTGACATATCTGTTACCCGCTTCAAGCCCTCGGACGTTGAGATATTGCGAAATTTAATCCAAGCAGTGATAAGATCTTTCTTGTCTCTCCGAATGGAAACGCATTTATTCGATGACTCCGATAAGGAAGAAGATTCCGAGATGGCTCTATCGCCAGATGCGTCAGCACTCAGTATTCGACGATTTCATTCTGCTTCGGTGATCAATATTGATGGTCCACGACGTCCAAAGCTACAGAGATCAGATACTGAGGACCGAGCAGTGGAGTTGGTAGCCAGCAAACTTGCAGAACCTACATCGAATTTATTGTCATGTTTGAAAATGGCATTGCAAAGATGCGATGCTGTGTTAATGGACATGTCTGGACATAGAGTATTTCTCGGCCCTCCCAAGGATGTTTCTTCTGACATTGTGGGCGCGATCACGAGTATCAGAAAGGCCAAGATCAAATACGACGAAGAAGAAGAGCAGTATGTAGTAGTTTCATTCCTTGTTTGTTTTTCTATCACAAAAATACTCAGTCTCCATGATTCTGTGCTATTCACATCAGCGTATTGGTTTTATAAATCTTTGATAGCCCAAATGACATTCTGATGGGATAAGATCTCTGCATCTGTTTGGTACATGCTATTCGCCCAATATGTTGAGTTTTGTTTGGAACTCTCATCTAGGCTGCACGTCATTTCTATTTGAAGTATTGAACGACCTGGAACATTGACTGTTGGCTATGTTCAAAAGTTCGCTGCTCTTCAAAGACTGAAAAATGTGGGAACAAATCATACCGTCCATTGATACTGACTTGAACAACCTTAGGCTTCTCCAGAACCCAAATTTGCCTCCAACATACTCTGACCATCCTGAAGTTGTTGAAATATTCTTATTTGTCCATCCTATCAGACAAGCCGCAAATACTGCTGAAGCTCTTCTCGTTAAAGTGAACGAAATGCAGCAGAGACGCCCTGGTTGGCGAATCTATCTGCCATCTTATCCATTTGGCAAAGCTCTCCAACGTACAAATGGACAAGTTCGACATGACAGAGGTGGTGTAACAGCAGGTTTCTTTTTCCGAAGTCAAAGAGAACTCGCCAAGACAATGAAAGGAATGGCAAATGTTTATAAACCTGCTCCACGGAAAGAAAAGGCCACAGTGGAAGAAGAAAATTATGATGACCTTGAGCCTACTGATACTAGAGGGGCATATGCCGAAGAGGAAGAAATAGCCATGGACAAAAACTCACAAGCTTCTAGACAAAAGCGCTTAAGATACAGAACCTGGAAAGTCCTTCATCGTTTACAAGGCTTTGAGACTAGATTTGCGTTCAAAGTTGCGATAGTGACTTCTCTCTTATCGGTGCCAGCGTGGTTAAGTCAAAGCAGAAGTTGGTGGAACAAGTATGAAAGTTGGTGGGCAGTTATAATGGTCTGGATAATGATGCATCCAAGGCAAGTACCAAATCGTCGATTTAGATATAACTTGAACTAAATTCTGACAGAGTTGGTGGAAATCTCCAAGATTTAATAACACGAGCTTTTTGTGCTATAATTGGCGCTGTGTGGGGTGGTATAGCCTATGGTGCTGACAATGGAAATTCATACGTCATGGCTGTATTTGCAGCCATCTTCATGATACCTATGATGTATCGGTTCACACAGAGTCCCCATCCTCGGTCTGGTATTGTAGGTTGCATCTCATTTGTAGTTGTTTCATTGGGTGCATATACAGCTCCCAATGATGTCCCAGTTGTTACTGTGGCTTGGACTCGAGGAGTTGCTTTTCTTGTTGGTACCGTATCTGCTGTTATCGTTAATTGGTTTCTGTGGCCATTTGTCGCGAGGCATGAATTGAGGAAGGCGTTATCGTCGATGCTCATCTATTCAAGCATAATCTACAGAGGTAAGCTATACTTTGAGGATTACTGTACTTTTTATTAATCAATGCAGGTGTTGTGGCAAAATATGTATATTATGAAGACGGGGAAGAGCCAGGTGTGAAAGATGTGCAACAATCTGGTACGTGTTTGTGTCCATACCCTTTAAACAGGACTAATTCTCTTCAAGAAATGCTGGAAGGTCGCCTGAGAGAAGGATTCGTTAGGATACGACAACTATTGGTATGTTTGAAAGTTTCTATTTGGTTACCTAATAATTGTAAACATGCTGACGGTTTGCAGGCTCTTACTCGTCATGAAATTCGACTTCGCGGTCCTTTCAATCCACTTCCTTATTCGGCATTGATCGATGCTTGCGAACGGTTCTTCGAGTATCTTGTCTCTGTACGACAGTCCTCACTCTTTTTCCAACCACATTATCTTTCCGAGAACGAGCAGGCATCTGAATCGCTACTTGCCTTTCGACGTGATGCCGTCGCCTGTATCCTCATGAACTTGTATGTTCTAGCTGGGGCATTGCGAGGTGATAGGAAGGTTCCTGTGAGTTTCATTGTCTGATCAGTCAAATATTCAAACCTAATTAGAAAACAGCGATATCTTCCATCCGCAGCATCCGCTCGAAAACGTTTGTTAGATCATATGGCTCTACTGGAATCCATGAATGTTCCTGCGACATCTAGTAGTATGTCCATTAAGTCGAAACGAAGTAGAAGGAAAAGTAAGAGTAAGAAAAATAATGATACAAATGAGACGGCAAATAACTTACCCGGGGGGAAAAAATGGTCTCAAATTTATAGTTACAGTACGTACCTTATACTTCCGACACTCAGGCTCTTCAAAAATTTGAGCATATTTGTCTACTTTCCCAAGACATAATTAACATAAAACTTCTAGGCTACAGTCAGTCCCTTACAGGATGTGTAACACAATTAGAACAACTATGCAGATACACCAAGGAAATCGTTGGTGAGCAAGGGTATGTGTTATTGTTACCTTTCTTCTCTGTCTATGTTCTTCGTCTGCACACTGGACTATTAAACATTACTAACCAAAACTGCAACAGCTTCGATCCCGTTCTTGAAGACGAATATGAAGATCTTACTCGCGATCGCGTGAGTGCTCAAGGATTTCTTGATGGTCAAATCACACCACGAACCACTAGAGGTTAAGAGCCCGAGGATATAATGCATAACAGTCCGACTACTCCTTATGTGAAATTGATCAACAGGACCGCTGGCGCAACGGTAGCGCGTTCGACTCCAGATCGAAAGGTTATCCGTTCAAATCGGGTGTGGTTCAATACCTACTCCTTTGATTAATCTATCTTTTTGCTTTCCTTTATACTTCTTGCCCTATATGTATAATTGCTTGGAACTTCTACGAACTGATTTTGGTGTGCGGTATGTGGTGTATAATGATACATTTTTGTACAGTATGTACTTATGGTACGGCGGTCCAAAGGAGTTGGTGTCCGATAGACTTGTTGCAGCAAGCGTTGCTTCTATCCTATACAATTAATTTTACTCTTGTAGCGAAAGATACAAAACGGTGATATATTCTGTCTGCTCTTTTTTGGCACTGCCATAGCTTCTTTGCTGAATTCAATAGTTCGCATCCATTTCGGTAACACTGTACCGAGACTTGTAGAAAATTTATCATCCCACTTTCGCCACGTTGCCATCCTTGTCCGAATTGTGGAATCTCTGCAAGGGTTAAGATTTCTAAGGCGGGACGGCAAGGGATAATCCACATGGGTAGGTATGTACCTCAATGGGTAAATCTCCCGAACGGCTCTGAAGTGGGACTGAATAGTGAACATCGAGTAACGAGATCCGCTTTTCTTATTGCGTTAACGAATACGCATCGAAGAGCTCGAGAGATCCAAGAGAAGAATATCGAAGACTTGGAATGAAGGAATGAGTGGGACTTTTCGATCGCATATCATATACTCCGTACTTGAATTCGAGATTTTCGTTCACAAACTACTGAAGGTATTCTAGAGAATGTCATTAGCTAGGTAGAAAGAAGATCTTTGCCTGATCCACATCTATTTATCCATCCATCCCTTCCCCTCGCTACCCCTCATCAAAACCCAAACCCAAACTCAAAACCATACATCCTACATCCCCATCCCACCACCATGACCAACTCCAGCCACCAGTACGACACCATCCAACGCCCCTACGACTACATCCGCACCTCCTCCATCGCTTTGATTGAGCGCTCAAATGTACACAGCGCACTCACACCATACATCCACAATGCACGAATCCTCGAGCTCGCCTGCGGCAGCGGTTTCTACACCCACGCCTTCCAAACCTGGGGCGCGCAATCCGTTCTCGGGGTGGACATCAGCACCGTGATGATTTCATCCGCGCCGCGTCTCGCAAACATTTCTTACATGCAAGGCGATTGTTCTATTCCGACGCCATACTTTCGCGACGAGGACGAAGCCTTCGATATCGTGTTTGCGGCGTGGCTTTTGAATTATGCGGGGGATCGACGGGGACTGGTGGATATGTTTCGCAATATCGCGATGAATTTGAAAGAAGGGGGGAGATTTGTAGGGGTGACTGTACCGCCGACTTCTGATCCGCGGGGGTCTGTGAGTGCGGAGGCGAGCGCGAGACCGATGAGTAGGGGTGGGAGTGGATATTTGGTGTATGAACATATTCGGGATGTGGAGGAGGGGATTTATTTTCGCGTGCGTGGGGATACGCCGGTGGGGGAGTTAGAGTTTGAGTGTTATCATTTGAGGAGGGAGGTGTATGAGGAGTGCGCGCGCGAGGCAGGGTTGAAGGGGAAGTTGGAGTGGGGGGTTACGGAGGTGCCGGAGAGGTGGTTGAGAGGGGAGGGAGAGGGAGGAGCGAGTTTGCAGGAGTTGGAGAGTTATAGGGAGATTCCCAATTATGGGATTTTGGTTATTGAGAAGTAGTAATTGGAAGGAGTTGGCTGAAGAGAGTTTGCTTGAATATTGCTTCTGTGTGTGGCTGGAGTGGAGTCGGCATATCGAAGGGAATATTCCAAGTCACATATATGAAACATAGTACTGTGTATGCGCCGTGGCGTGGCCCTGTACTCTGATTAACGAACCACATCCGAAACCCGACTTCTCTTGGCATTGCCGTCATGTCTTGTGACGGCACTAGCCTAGTCTCATCCCCAATTATTCTTCTTCGGCATTCGTAAAGACACTCGCCTCATATATCATCCACACTTTCCATATAATGAAACTAATTGACCGTCCTAACCTCCTGTATCTTAGATTTTTATATCTCCCCCAACGAAGACTTTTGCGTCGAAGGCCCTGACATCAGAGTTCGAGCTACTAGGAGCCATAGATATGGAACAGTGGCTACGATTGTCGAGGTAGAGATTTCGTCAACATACCAACTGAGGTAGATAAGAGAGATCTTGAGGGGCTGAGATTGAGATTGACATAAAGACTGCATAGACAATCCGAACAGGTTAAAGAAAGAAAGGAAACGTATCATAGGAAACATAGACTCGACATCGCCATGACAGTAACATTTCACAAAGCTTCGTAAACAGACACCGCAGCAAGAAGTCATTGTACCTATCCCATCCCTTTCTAAACACGCAAAAAGCTTGCCGAATTCCAAAGCTCCTTATATAAATTGAAGATAGGTAAATGAATATCAGTTCCCAGAAAATATTGCTGGAGTCGAAAACTGAGACTAGCAGTAGTGTTGAGATCCTTTCGCTGCAGTCGTCACGAGAAAGAGAATCAGAATCTAGTAGAGAAAATATCACGCCATGTCAGCTAACAGTTACAAAAAGTGTCTAGTTCCAAACACAGATATCCCTTTCCAGTGATCAGTCTGGGAAGAGAATATGGAATCTCGAGGCGGCCATTACGCGAACAGACGAAGTAAGACACACAAAATTGAGACACATGATGTAATCCTCCCAATCAAAGATCCGAGATTTACCAAGGGGATTCGAGGGTCTGTTGTTCCCTCTGTTAAAACACTTGTGCGTTGAAGCATTGAGGGAGCGTTGATATGGGTCAGGAGCTGTGCAATATTAGAGAGATACTTCGACTGAGAAGATATTTTGAGGAACTAGCTCATATCTTTACAACGTGCCCTGTACGATTCGCACAATTGGACAAGTTTCAATCTGCAAGCTACACTAGTGGAGATGAAATCGAGGTGAAATATCAATGGAAAAATTACTCCTGGTGTCAGGCGGATACCGTACTATTGTCTCCTTGATGTTGACATCACTTGAATCAAGCCTCGGTGTCCTTAATCATTGCTGTTTAGCTCAATGTTCGAAATGAAGCTATCAAACAGCATGATCTTTAATTCCGTACAGTGAAAAGCCACGTCTGTGCTTTAGCAGTATTAGAGGATTAGGAATACAACTCCTCACCGTGCAATGGGGTAGAAATTAGCATGCGAGCTCGCCTGTCGAGGACCTCTCGACAAGATGGGTTGACCGCAATAAAAATTAATACTTCGTAGAATAGCCAATCCACTTTTTAAATTATAGCAAGATTTTATACGTGTTGAAATCAGATGTCACTTATCTCTTTGCCACCCTTGTATCTGGGGTCTGGCCAAGAGAACCCTGCCAAACCCCTGGAAATTCGATGGATCGGCCCCATACACCGCACCACGGCTAAATGCCAAATTTCTTCAAGCGATGTGCCCACTCGCGAACTATCGCATGTATTGTCTAATCGGGATGCCATATTTTGTCCATACCCCATTTATGCAATGCATGCTCTACACTATATACTCTATTAACGTGAGAGGCGGCCGAAAATGCAAACCTTTTAGGCGCGGTCGCCGAACTGGTGGAGTATTGACGAAAGGAAATAAGCCCAATTCCAGTGGTATGGTAGCTGTTTATCCTACCGGCATTTCCACCCTTCAATTGTCAAACTCTTTTCCTCTTCGTTGTTTGTCGACTTTGAGCCCTGAGAATTTTCACAATGGAGGCTGCTACAGAGCATGATATCGAAAAGGGTGTACAAGTGCATACCGCCGCCGACAATTCCACAGACCGCGATGGGAAATCTACAATCGATGCTGAGAATGACAGTTCTCGACATTCTGGTTCCGAGCGAGGCTTGAGCTACTGGAGCGTCAAATTGGAGCAAATCTGGGGACTGGAAGCTCGTGGTATCACCCGTGTAGCTGACAACGAGAAACATGTGCCGCGTCCGCTTCACGACTATTTCCACATGTTCTCGCTATGGTTCAGTATCAATTTGCAAGCCATGAACATTATTGTTGGGCTGCTCGGACCCTTGGTTTACGGACTCGGCTGGGTGGATTGTATTTGCATTGTCATTTTCGCGAATGCGCTCGCCTCGACATCAATCGCGTATATGGCAACCTATGGACCAGAAAGTGGCAATAGAACTCAGGTATGCTTCTTCATTTCTTTTTTGTTTGACTAGGTGCTAATGTTTGCGCTTTGATAGATTATTGGACGTTATTTCATGGGTTATTGGCCCTCGAAAATTGCATGCTGCTGCAATGTTGTTCAGCAAGTAGGCTTTGGTACGATTGGGTGTATCATCACTGGTCAGATGATTACAGCCGTCAACGGAGGGAACTTGAGTTTGGCTGTTGGATGTGTCATTGCCGCAATCTGCATCGGTTTAGTCGCTACTTTCGGTATCGAGTACCTGAACAAAATCGAAAGGTAAATATAACCGCCGTCCTTCGAAGATTGATGATCAAGATCCTAACAAATAAATAGATTTGGATATATCCCACAAGCGATTGTTATGTTCGTACTGATCGGTTGCACTGGTGGGGATTTTGATACCCACGCAGTCTCCGTTGGTGATTCCGGAACCATTAACGCTAATCGTTGTTCGTTCTTCGCCTTGGTATTCGCTAGTATCATTGGATTTACCGCCATCAGTGCCGACTTTTACGTCTACTATCCCAAAGATTATCCAAAATGGATAACATTTGCATCCACGTGGACTGGCATCTGGACCTCTGTAATTTTTGCCAACATAGTTGGAGTTGGTATCGCTACCGGAGTTCCAAACATTCCAGCTTGGAGCGACGCCTATGCCATCTCGTCTGGTGCGCTTCTCTATGAGTGCTATGGCAGACTCGGAGGATTCGGCGGCTTCTGTGTCGTCATTCTTGCCCTTGGTTCCATCACCAACAACGCACCATGTAGTTACAGTGCAGCATTGACCATTCAGGTACTCGGACGCTGGGCAAACAAGATCCCTCGTTGGTTCTGGTGTGTTCTCATCACAGCAGTTGAGGTAAGCTCATTCTACATCATCTTATTTTCATCTGTGCATGATGCTAACTCCAGCACTCCAGCTCGTCCTTTCCGTCTGTGGTCGCAACAAGCTTTACACCGTCTTCGAGAACTTCCTTCCTATGATGGCATATTGGATTTGCCCCTGGATTACCATCAGTCTCGAGGAATATTTCATCTTTCACAAACTCCAAGGCAAATCGTTCGACTGGTCCATTTATAACGACAGAACCAAGCTACCAATCGGATATGCAGCCCTCTTATCATTCTTGATTGGATTTGCTGGCGCGATCGTAGGAATGTATCAAATCTGGTACACCGGTCCTATTGCTTTGATGATTGGTGGTGAGTATGGTGGTGATATTGGAGATTGGCTCGGTATCGGCTTCACGGCCATTGTGTTCCCACCACTGAGATATCTCGAGTTGAAGAAGTTTGGACGGTAGAGGCTGCCTGTGTATCCAGTCATAACACACACACCCAACAGCTTTGTATATATTCGTGGTGTTAATAATAATTATATTCGTTATACTAGTAAACTAGCATTGTTCATGTGAATTTCATGATTGGGCAGTCGATCGAATGGTGTAATCGGTGCTTGATACAAGCTTTCTCCATCATGTTGCAGCACTATCGCCATGTGCCCTAATCAAAGCTTTTAAGACCATCAGGTTTCTGGGAGCGTGAGCAGAATGGTATTGTTGTACATGTGTGGCATGTTGAATCGAAAGGTGCTTGAAGAGCATGTGTTTATGTGTCACACCACGCTTTTCACACCACACCACGAAAAATCGAAAGGGGGCGGTTGTATCTCGAAATCTACACAGTAGCCTCTCACATCTTGATGATTGCTTGCCACATTCTGATCTATTCTGGTGAAATGGTGATATTTCAGAGTCATATATCTGGAATAGATGACTCTCGTATCCTACAAAAAGAGAAAAAAAAAGGCAAAAGAGAAATTCGACGTCGGCATGATTCGAACATGCGCCCCCGAAAGGAATTGATTTCTAGTCAATCACGTTAACCACTCCGTCACGACGCCAATATATCAATGTTTGATACCGACAGTTGGCTTATTTATTGATATATTTGTCGACACATTTTTAGTGTAATCATGAATCAATCCTAGATGTTTTGAAGAAATTTGGTTGGATACCAAGTCAGATATATGGATCGACGCCCTCCCGTGTATTATCCGAGGTCCCGGTCATCTGCCTACTCCATAAGAGCACACCGTTCGAGCCTCTATCTCATATACAAACAATGTATACGGAATAGTAGAACAACGATGGACTATTATTTACTGCTGTAACATGTTATCGTGGTTGAGACACGACCGAAATATTTTTACAACATTTCAAAGGCTCTCGACGATGGAAAATGGCCAAATATATCCGTCTACTTGAAGTTGAGTTGTTGTTGTTTATTAGTCCTCAGGTAGGCTCGCAGGTACCTAGACATCATACATACATACATACCATACCTACTTATGGCGGTTTGGGCGCCACGACTTTAGCGATGGAAAATCAGGGTCCACATGTCAACACCTGGGCAGTACTGTACCGGTACTTGAAAATCTTCATGCAGATTCACTTCATAGCACATCTCAAGTTCTACAAAGCATGCTGAAATCAGTCTCGTCTCACCCGAAAATGTCAAGATTGCATTACAACATTCATTATTGAGTTGTTTCAAGTCTCGGTAATGGAAAAGGGGTCAATAAGGAAGCATCTTGGACTGAAGTGTGGAAGGGGGAAACTCGATAATAAAGGAGGACATATAATACTATCTATGTAGTCACCAACATTATTAAATTCGCGCAATAATCGTCGCATTACTTTACGTGCCACTCTCAAACACAATCATCAGGATGCAGGCTGCATCTGTCTAACGGTCATAAATATCCATGATATCGTCATTTTAGCGGGAAAGTGTTGTCGCGTGAGTTAATGTGCTGAATTAAGCTTTCAAATTTCTCCTCTTCTCCATCATCTCTGATCTACTGAAAGGGATTCATCTTAGAAGGGGCTTTAGAAGAGGGTGATCAAAACCAAGAGTGACTCGAGACTCATCCACGTGTCCTGATGATTGGCTGGATAAACCCTTTGGAAGGGTAACTATAACTACTGCCAATTGACTCTTTGATGAGTGAGACATAAGAAAAACACCTTGAGAGTTACTGGGCAGTCAGAACTGTCAAAAGTTAGTATGGGCGGAGGATTATATGAATCAAGGAAACTTTTTCTTTCCTTCTAGAGTACTTGGAACTCGAAACTCCGTAAAGCCAACAGACAAAGATTCATCATATTTGAGAGACGGCACAACTCATCACAAGTTCATTCTTCATTATCGTCGTGGCTCAAGCGAAAATTAAATATCTCATCTCTTTCTCATCTCTTTCTCTCTCTCTCCAAGAAAGAAACCAAGCTTTGGAATCGCACAGGCACCCGCCGTTCGGTCGCGAATCTTTCCACGAGGGGGGAGCAACCAACAATCAATTTACTCTATTTTAATCATAAAAAGACAGGGAAACGGAGTCAGTCATTAATCACAACTCATCATTTTTTTCCGTGGGAAGAATTTGGCATCCTTTTTCCCTAAAACTCTATATACCACCTATACATGAGAATGATTTCCTTTTCCTAAGATATACATACTCTTTTCTTCTTTTCCAGTTTGATTTTGCAAACATGCGTCCAAACGAAATATGCATAGCAGTCTGTCTGCTTCAATTTTCTCCTGCTGCCGTTGCCAAACCCCTCGGTACCACCCAATCAAGCCTGCAAGTGCCATTGGAGGACCTGGATACTACACACCATCAGCATGTTGCCTCCAAACGTCTGCATGGCAGATTCTTGCACATTACAGGTGGGGTTAAATCCTTATTTTGCGATTCAATGTTCCTGTACGATGCTCACTTATTATAGATTTACATCAAGATCCGCACTACAAAGTATTCTCCTCCACTGACGAGGACGATGCTTGCCATAGAGGCAAAGGAACTGCTGGCACATATGGAGCGGAAACCTCAGATTGCGATACTCCTCCTACCCTTATCGATGCGACTTTTAAATGGATAGAGGAAAATCTGAGGGACAACGTGGATTTTGTTGTATGGACAGGGGACAGGTTGGTTCTGCTTTCACGAACAGCCAATCGTCGCAATGACGATTTGGCTTTGTGCGAGGAGAGTTGCTGATCCAGAATAGTGCACGACATGACAGCGACGAAAAAATTCCTAGAGTTCAAGACGAGGTCCTCGATACGAATAGAAAGATCGCAGACAAATTCCTGGAGACTTTTGGCGATGGGCACGATTTATCGATTCCGGTTATATCAACGTTTGGCAACAACGATATTCTTCCACATAACATCTTACTTTCGGGTCCGAATAAATGGTTGAAGACGTATACAGATATATGGGATAAATTCATACCAGAAGAGCAGAGACATGGGTTTCAACGAGGAGGGTGGTATTATGTCGAGGTTATTCCTAAGAAATTGGCCGTCTTCAGTCTCAATACTTTATACTTTTTTAGCCATAATGCCGCTGTGGATGGTTGCGCATTGCGCTCAGAACCCGGATACGAACATATGGAATGGCTTCGAATTCAACTACAATTTATGCGCGACCGCGGAATGAAAGTTATCCTTACTGGACATGTACCACCTGCTCGAACGGACAGCAAATCACTTTGGGACGAGACCTGTTGGCAAAAATATACCTTGTGGCTACAGCAGTATCGGGATATTATTATCGGAGGTTTATTTGGGCACATGAACATTGATCATTTCATGATACATGACACTAAAGATATTGATATCTTATTGTTTGACGGTAAATCTGTTGCGCCTCCTCGCGCGCTAATGGACGATGAGTTTACAATTTCATCTGCGGGAGATTACTTGGGTGATCTTCGAGAGGATTGGTCTGGATTACCTAATCCGAAACACCTACCGATTTTCATGGACGCTGACGCGGAAGAATTGGACTACTCAGAATCGGACAAAGAGCCGAAGAAAAATAAAAAAAAGAGTAAGAAGGACAAGAAAAGAGACAAAAAGAAGAAAGAGCTCAAGAAGTTTGGAGGTCCATGGGGTGAAAGATTTGTGGTGACACACGTTGGGCCAAGTATTGTGCCCAATTACTTTCCTACTCTTCGGGTCATCGAGTACAATATCACAGGGCTGGACGACTTGCCGAGGTGGTCCAATTCAGTTGTGAATAATGATGAACAAATTGATTGGCTTGATCAAGAAGAAGAAGAAGATCGATTCAACGTCGATGCCGGTGAAGATTCGATTTACGCAAATAATGGCGATTTTTCTACTGAGAAGAAGAAGAAGAAGAAGAAGAAGAAGAAGAAGCACCACCAGAAAGACAAGAATAAGTTCAAGAGCCCGACACCGTCTAATCCAGGATCCATAGTTCCATCGCCCCCTTCAAAAGATGCGCCTCCGGGACCGGCTTATTCTCCTCAAAGTCTAACATTACTTGGGTACACTCAATATTCTGCCAATCTGACTTACATCAACAATCTTGAACTAAAATCAGAGGGGTCGGACGATGAGGTTGACGTGGAGAAATGGCGTAAGGGTAAACACGGCGGAAAGATTCCAAAAGACGATGATCCAAATCCACACGCCTTTCATTATGAAGTCGAGTATGACACTTTCACCGATCCAATTTACAAGTTGAAAGATATGACAGTCAAAAGTTACCTCAAGCTGGCTCATAGGATTGGTCAATATAAGCCACAAAAGGGGGATCGTGTTAAAGATGGAGAAATTCTGGAAGAATCCAATGTCTACGAAGATGAGGATAGTGAGAACGATGACAAGAAACAAATTTCTGTATCCGAGAACGAGACTATCGAAGATACTGAGGATCATGATATGGATGCAGAAAAGAAGAAGCAAAAGAAGCACAAGAAAAAGAAGCATCATCGCAAAGAGAAGAATAGAGTGTGGCTCGCCTTCGTTAAGCGTGCTTTTGTCGGTACAGTAGATGAGAACGATATTAAATCCTTTGATGATGGGCTGGAGGAGCATGTTCAAGAACCATTGGTTTCTGTTCCAGAAAATGGAGAAGGGCTACATAGTTTGGAATTGTAATGTTCTTTAGCGTACATGGATTGGAGTTGCATCAGATTGGGTTGGAGTTCGGTTGTTTTACTTGTCTTGCAATTATACCATTGCGATGGAAACGAAACATGCATTTGGAGTTCGGTATCGTGTATGGATTATTTACCTTAAATGAGGTCGTGCTATGCATTGTGGAGCGGTGCGTAAGAATATGACATGGCACCGTGGAGTTATGGTTTTATGGTTCAGATGAGTGTATGGACTATTGTATCGCAGCAGCGTGGATATTATCCGTCGAATACTCTTTCTTACAATACCTAAATAATTTCATACGAAAAGCATAATTGAGGCAAGATTTTACGATCTCACGATGTCTTTCAAGCTTCTCTGCTGTGATGACCTATCCTACAATTCGAATTAGTCCTTTCAATCTTACATGCTGAATTTGTAACTTAAAATCAGTTGATACTGCGACTGATCAATCAGACAATCAATCGCCATTTGAAGATGCATATTTGAAACCCGAATGTTCAAATCCCGATGTAGTATTTAGAGACGCAACGCAATTCACCCCAAGTTGGAGTAAGCACCTCGCAGCGTGGTGGGTACTAATTAATGGCTAATCCGATCGCTGGTATGTATTATAATGTATGACACCAGACAGGGGTTCTGGGGAGCCTTGGGGTCTGGATTTAGTGAGGGAGCTCGGGGAGGTGGGATGAATGACGGCATGTGGGGTAGGTAGGTAGCTTTGGTTCCAATTGCACATTGCCTTTACCGGTACACAACATGTGTGGAAAATGATCTCGATGACGAATAGGTAATCTTACATTGTGTTAAAGTAGGTAGGTCTACGATTGCGCATTTGTAAGCTACCGGCATATGAATTGTAGCTCTGCTTGTAAAGCATTTTAATTGAAATGATGAGATTAGCATAGCATTCCCCGGACTAGCTTCTAGATCTTGGAACCCCTCATTCCATCCATAAGAGGCGAGCTTCCCCTTCCTTCAATTAATATCTAGGTACCGTCTTCTCTATTTCAACATCTGATTTACCATTGACATATTAACTACACACACACACACACATACACATACACATACACATACACATACACATAAACTACGCAACAATAACTCCACCCATCAATCCCAACCCTCCAAACCATGACCTACGAACGCCAACGCGCCATCGAATCCTACGGCTGGACATCCGTCCCCGCCTCTCTCTCCCAGCTCATCCAACTCTCCCCATCAGCCTCTACTCCCGCCTCCACCCTCAAAATTTCCGATCTCCCCTTCCCTACCTCCCCCCTCGTAAAAACCATTCAAGAATACGCACGCAGCGAACTACCCCAAGAAACCTACCACCACTCTATGCGCGTCTACCACTACGGCGTCGCAATCCTCATTCACGCATTCCCCCACTGGACAACGATCAACGCGTCTAGTAAATTTCTCGAAAGCTACGCGCTCACGGCTCTGCTCCACGATATCGGGACCGTACCGAAACATTTGCAGGAGACGCTGATGAGCTTTGAGTTTTATGGGGGGTTTATTGCAGATGGGGTGTTGAGGGATGCGGGGGCGGCGAGGGAACAGAGGGAATTGGTTGTGGAGGGGATTATTCGACATCAGGATTTGGGAGAGGTGGGGACGCAGACGAGAATTGGGGGGTTGGTGCAGTTGGCGACGATTTTCGATAATATGGGGGGGAATGCGCAGTTGGTGGATGAGGGGACGATTGAGAATGTGGTGGGGGAGTGGCCGAGATTGGGGTGGAGTATGTGTTACCTTTTTTTCTTCTGTGTGGTTTTTTGTGGTGTTTGGGAGGGATTGGGGTATGTTTGATGGGGTTTGGAGATATTAGGAGACATGTGGGAAGATAAGTTGAGGTGCTAATCTGGCGTGACTAATAGGTAAATGTTTTTCGCACACAATCGAGCAGGAAAATGCTCTCAAACCATGGGCTCACACGACACATTTGGGGGAGAGGGATTTCCCCGACGGAGTGCGGGGAAATAAGTTGATGGAGAAATGGGATTGAGAGTCCCAACAGCACTAGACACGGAAGCAGGTGGATGAGGGACGACTAAGTAGGCTCACACTGGATGAGGAATGACAAGTGAATAAAATCATGAGACAACGAGGTAAAAGAAACGGAAAACGCACTCGGAAATCATACGGGAAAAGAGCCATAGCTTGGGAAAATAGAATGATATCTACGGCGTGGAAATACCATCTCAATGACATTTCAGTAGCAAAATCTGTCTATCTTCTTGTACTATCCCAATTTCTCTCCAATATATGTCCAACCCTCAACCCATTCATCAACAAACCAATCCAGGCGTCGTGACGGAGTGGTTAACGTGATTGACTAGAAATCAATTCCTTTCGGGGGCGCATGTTCGAATCATGCCGACGTCGATTTATTTTTGCTGGAGGGATCTATCAATTATATCCATACCACTTTAACTTTTCTACACATCTCCCATCTTCCAACTCTTTCTTATTTATTCATCTACACACCAAGGCAAACACCAATCCCTCGGTATCAGTATCCTCTTTTGCCTTCGTCTCTCAGATTATCAAGCTTTTGTGGACAGCTATGGATAGCTATGGATAGCTATGGATTTATCCTATGTGTCCTATTTGCTGTATGCGGATAGATGGATAGATATGTGGATGAGAGAGACGATAAATGTGGATTCGGCAGTGAAAACTTGTGCGAGCGGTGGGAATGAAGATCCGTTACAATACAACTAACTTACTTATCAGGGGCCAAGCGAGATCAGATTGGATCCACCCCTTCAGTTCATTCTCTAGTCCAGTGAGAGAGATAAAAAAATGTTGAAAATTATAGTTATACGATATGTACGCTCGTTAATTTATTGTATCGAATCAGATTGTTATTGTTAAGTTAAATTGGGGGTGGTATAGGTATAGATAAATTTCATTGTGGGGTTTTGACTCAATACAGATATATATCATTATAAGATATTGCCATAAGTTATCAAGATTTTCAATATATGATTGATTCCCTTGGAGGCCTGGAGAGATTTGGTGTACCGCTTTTTTTTTGGCTACATGGAGCCAACTTCCACCTCGTGCCAGACCCAAGCCGAGCCTCATGAACATCCTTATGCCCCATTCTGTAATTAAGCATTTGTCTGTATTGAACGTAAACAGAATTTCCGATTATGTTTCTGCATTTCCGAAAACCGAGGTGCGAGATTGTTCTGGAGTGTGGAAATATATTAAATACAGAACACATGATGTCGAGGGAATGAGGATTAAGAGGGGGGTGGTTGTTGATCGATGGGTAGATCTAACAGATCTACCGCCGCCCATAGTTTCGGAACTTCCAAGGCTGTTTTCAATATGTTCATCGCATCCTTTGCCTACCTAACAACTAATGTCTGGAAGAGATTGCATGGAGCATGGAGAAATGATGAGTATCAGATCAATCCGAGCAAGTATAGACTAATGTGAAGTATGCAGAGCAATGTCTATCAACCATGAAGACTCCCGAGGTTATTAGAAGAAATCGTGTTCTATACCCGAGGAATTGGATACAAACGTGGCACTCTTATGTAGCACAATGGCATAGAAAGCCAAGCCATTCTTTGGTGTTTTTTCCATACGCCATTGCATCCTCTGAAAGTCTTTGATCATAAACCTCCCAACGAAGGTATCTGGGTAGGCCGTCAAGGCATAAGGTGATCCTGTTCGATTAAACCATCAACCGACGCATTGTCGGTCGGGCTGGCATTGTGATGAACGGTTCATCATCCAACTATGAACCTATCCTTTGTCAGTCGGCCTCCAATCTTGAGTACCGCAACAGTTCACAACAGTTCACAACATTTTTGTGGTTTTGTTGTGCATTTGAGCCGAAGGGTGGAATAAAGTTCTGGGATATCAATTCTCTGGCAGCCATGCTCATGAAAGATTAGCAATTCATAGCTGAATTTCTGAACAGGCTCACAAAATTCCCTTGCGCCTTGCTTGCATATTCCAAATCCAAGAAAACAGTACTGTAGTTCGGCGGTCAACTTTGATTTGAGCCAGCAAATATCAAATTTCGAAAGCGAATGGCAAAATGTTAGTATACGAATGGGTGGCTTTACGCAGTTATCTGCAAAGATTACTAGACAACTTGATGCTCATGCAATAACAATGCTGTCTACAGCCATCTTAGCCATTTTGAGGATCTCCAAGCACCCCCTTGTTCTCTCCCCATAGCATTGCTTGACCGTCAAATCTGCAATCTTCAAATCTGGGAATTGGCCATGCTCTAGCGATCGCACGCCCGCAGCAACTTGTGCATCTAATATATTGTGACGAGCGTTCTGTCTTTGCTCCATCTCGGAAACGAGATCTTTCAATCCTTTGTATTTGAATCCAGGTTGGTCATGGCCATAGACGTCAGCACGCAACAAAGCTCTTACGGTAGTTCGCCACTCTGCTGGTTGCATTTCTCTATCTGCCATGGATGATTCGTTACCTATGCATGCTACTGCCTCGTTTATTGGTCTTTGGTGCTCGCATAATCCGCCATATTCAAGATACCTAAAGATTTTGGTCTGCCCTTTAGCAATTGCCTCTGCAGTCGCTTCATCAACCATTTTTAGTAAACGGCCGTATCCATTCGCAATGATAGGTAGTATAGTTCCGATGAGCATTGTATTTTGAAAGGCCTCAATAGAGGGTATGGGCGAAATTAGCGCTATCGCACCACACGAGGGGCACCAAATGGCTTTCGATGCCACAATACTAGCGCCACGAACTACCTTTAAAGCTTCATCGATGTCACTTGGGAACTGCTGCAATGCTGATAGTGACAAATACATCGATGATAGGCAGCTGCACTTATCGCCTGATATTGGAAAAGGACCATCACTACCACTAGGCGAAGAGGAGGAAGGATTTGACCCCGTTGATAATTCAGCTTCTTGGTTGGCTTCAGGTTGAGCTTCACCCAGTTTTTCCATATTCATATTACTAAAGTCGATGGGAACAGAGTCTAGCATATCACCGTTTCCAAAATGCCACATATTCCGGCCATCATCTACATTTGAGGCCCAGAGAGGGGTTGGGGTGTCCAGAGGGAGAGTTTGTGGAAATTGCTGGGCAGGATCAAATCCATTGAAACTCGAATTAGTGTAATACGGTTCAGCAAAGTCGTTATCATCGAGATTGTAAAGTTCATCGCCAAAAAAGGGGAGTAATGTGCCATCATCAAGAAGAGGTTGTAGGTTGTTTTGTGTATTGGGTGGTTCATCTCTAATAGTTTCGATAAATTGACGCTTTCTTGGTCTTCCCATTTGTTTCTGTTGAGAGTAATGACATGATATGTTTTCTCGCACACATCTTTCACAACCGTTAGGGTCCTTTGAGCATGCAAGTTTTCTGATTCCTATATCCAATGAGTAGTTGTACAGAGGATGAATGCTTTCGAGTTCAAGGTAACTCACTGCACTCATCACAAGCCCGATGTTTTGCCGCAGTATTCTTTTGTTTACCTGTTGAATCCATCACCATGAGAATCACCTTGCTGGTGAATGGAATTGTTAATTAAGATAAATGAGGAAGCAAATTGATCTCAATTCAATGCAAGACGGTGAACAGTTGTTTCTGACTGTATTTTATATATGGAACAGGGTTCGAGAGGCTCAAAAGAGGCTACAGACCATGCTCCAGAGCAACAAAAGACGCTAAGATAACAACCTCTGATAAGCCCTTCGACCAATTTTTTCCAGGAAAAAATCTAATGAAGCTTTCGGATTTCAAACAGTGCCCAAATTATTGCAAAATATTGTAACAATGGCACCCCCAACAACCCAACGAAAGCGCAAAGCTGTTACCCGAGATGAACCTGAGATATCCGATGTCGAATCTGAAGCAGAATTTGGTGATGGAATTCTGGAAGGAATCTTGTCGCAAAGTGAAGATGAATCCGACGACAGCGCAGCAGAGGACAGTGAAGACGAAGAAGATTTGGATGAGGAAGAACTCGAGGCATTGAATAGTGATGAGGTACCCTCAGAGAATGGCGAGGGAGAAGAATCCGCGACAAGAACTTCCCTCAGCAAAATCAATGCCAACGAAGACGATGACAAGCCCAACTACACTGTGGTGAAGGATGCTAATGGAGGAGAACGTTATGTTTATGAGGAGATAGACCCAGTCTACGACTCGGATGATTCAGATGCCCAAGAGCCAACTAATACTATTGGAAACATCCCATTGTCTTTCTATGATTCTTATCCTCACATTGGTTATGACATCAATGGAAAGAAAATTATGCGACCTGCAAAGGGTGAAGCACTTGATGCATTGCTAGATAGTATCGATATTCCAAAGGGATGGACAGGTCTTACAGATCCTTCTACAGGCAAGCCTCTCAACTTGACTCAAGAGGAATTGGAGGTTCTGCGCAGGATACAAACAAATGAAGCTCCGGAAGATGGTTACGACCCATATCCTGTAAGCACTTCTTTTTATATCTATGTTGTATTTTCGAACTAACTTGGAATAGGATTATGTTCCATATTTCAGCGGCGTCGAGGAGATTATGCCTCTGAGCTCGGCTCCTGAACCTAAACGACGTTTCTTGCCATCCAAGCATGAAGCAAAGCGAATCATGAAGATTGTTCGGGCAATTCGAGAAGGTAGAATCTTACCATATAAACCACCACAAGAGCGCGAGGAAGAGGAAGAAGAACACCACTACGATATATGGCAGAACGAGGAGGCGCAACCAGATCATATCATGAAGATCCCAGCTCCAAAGCCACCCCCACCAGGATACGATCTAAGTTACAACCCACCTCCTGAGTATCTCCCATCTAAAGCAGAAAGAAAAGAATGGGAAGCTACAGATCCTGAGGATAGAGAAAAGGAGTATCTACCAACAGCATATGATTCTTTACGAAAAGTACCGGGATATGATAAGTTTATCAATGAGAGGTTCGAACGTTCGCTTGATCTCTATTTGGCACCGCGAGTTCGCAAGAATAGGCTCAATATCGACCCTGCTTCCTTACTTCCAAAGTTACCAAAGCCAGAGGAACTTAAGCCTTTCCCAACTATCACGCAGACGCTATTCCGTGGCCATGGTGGTAGGGTACGAAGTTTGGCCATTGATCCATCTGGAACGTGGCTGGCTACCGGCGGTGATGATGGTACTGTTCGTGTTTGGGAACTTTTGACCGGAAAACAACTCTGGAGTGCGCAGATAGGAGATGAGGAGGCAGTTAATGCTGTTAAGTGGCGCCCAGCGAAGGACGCTATCATACTTTCTGCCGCAGCTGGAGAGGATATATTCCTTATGGTACCAACCATAATTGATCCGGTTTCTGAGAGCAATAGCCGAGAATTATTAGATGCTGGATTTGGTTACGCAACAAATGCCACACAAGCACTTACGGCTAACGGACAGAAGAAAGAGCCTGTCGCTACCTGGACTCGTCCTACCTCACGTCTACAAGATGAAGGTGTACTAATCAAGATCACTGTAAGATCCACAGTCAAGGTTATCAATTGGCACCGAAGAGGTGACTTCTTTTCCACTGTATCTCCTACAGCCCAAAAGTCCGCCGTTGCAATCCACACTCTCTCGAAACATCTCACACAAATTCCATTCAGACGTCTTCCCGGTATCGCCCAGACTGCTCAATTCCATCCCTCTCGACCCATTTTCTTCGTTGCCACTCAACGCACAATCCGCAGTTACGACTTACAAAAACAAGAATTGGTCAAGATTATTCAACCTGGTGCTCGCTGGATCTCTTCTTTCGATATCCATCCTGGAGGTGACAATCTCATTGTTGGTTCTTATGATCGTCGTCTCTTATGGCATGATCTCGACCTTTCTACCCGCCCATACAAGACTATGCGTTTCCACAATAAAGCTATTCGAGCTGTCAAATACCATAAAGGTGGTCTTCCATTATTTGCAGATGCTAGTGACGACGGAAGCTTGCAAATCTTCCACGGAAAGGTTGTAAGTGATGCGATGGAGAACGCTACTATCGTACCAGTGAAGGTTTTGAAAGGACACAAGGTCAAGAGCGCTTTAGGTGTCATGGATCTGGACTGGCATCCAAAGGAGCCTTGGCTTGTTAGTGCTGGTGCGGATGGTACATGTAGATTGTGGACTTAATAATGCAGTGTTCAAAAATGGAGTACGAAGGTGTTTACAAGGTTGTCATAAGGTTCTATTAGATATCAATGGTAGAAAAGCATGAAGAATTTGATAATTTTTGCAATTGATTTTGGTTTGTTATTTTATTTCCTGGTCTCTATAAGTGTGTTTGAGTAAGAATGGGAATGGCAATCCGTCATGCCCAATATTTGATCCGCGACATTGTCGTCATGATGCGTATGCTTTACTCCATGTACTATCAGGCAGCTGCTTACTCGTCCTTGTAGGTTACCAGTTTATGCTTTCGTGCCTGCGAACTAGCACAACTTACAAGTTAGGGTACAGTGGAAGATACATACGTCACATAACATGCAAAACCATACTAGGAATACTCTGAGGCTCAAATACAAAAGGACCAGACATGAAAAGCGTCTTACATTCCAAACCACGCGGAGGGCGGCGTCTTCCGAGAATCCCCTGGGGTCGATTCCTTGGCTCTACAACCTCGCCCTAGTTTTGCAAAACACGACATATTGGAGACTCCGATATGAAGTTTTGTGCTTACTATTCCAGCTAGCACGACTTCCAGCCAACCAGACAAAAGTCGCTCCTTTCAGCCCTTGCTGTGCGACTCAAGGCTGCACTTGGCGAGCGGTTATCTTTGGTATCGGTATTGTGCAGATCAAGTGAAAGAGAGTAAGTTGAGATGATAAATCATGTGCTGAATCATCGAGGGCAGTATCGGATGTGAGACAAAGGGATCGAATTTGCGCGTCATTATAGCTAACAATTTTTAACCGAGAGAACATCTTCATGTCTTCGTGCTGTGTGTATATCCGGATGTAACATTCAGGGCAATTCCGAGATTCTCAGAAATCTAGCTATTTGACACAAACCAGTTGATGAGTTCCCGCACAATGGCAGTTTTGTTGTTTTGAAAATCGTGAATATTCATGAAAGAGGCAGAGACTCGGAGTGACCGCTCATGGCATGGAACGAAAGCATGTGATAACCTCGGTTAACCGATATCCCTACATCTTGCACAACCCTATATCTTGCACATCTTTATTTCTTTTCAAAATGATATATTAAATTCAATTAATAATTGATTAATTATTATATTTTATCATAACTTTTTATTAAGATATAATTATATTATTTTTATTCAAAATAAAAATTGAAATATTGAGAATATCTAAAAAGTGTAATATAATTTCAATATAAAAATATTGATATTAAAATATTATATATTAATTTATTTAATAATATAAATGAAAAGAATTATTCTTTTTTTGAATAATTCAAAATTTTGATTTATTCTTATATAGAAAATTAAAAAAAAGTAAGCTTTTATATCAAAAATTCCAAAATATTTTAAATTATTATAATAAAATTTATAAATTATCTTTTTTTAAATTAAAATCAACTATAAATTAAGTATTTTATAATATTTGAATAAAAAGCTAGTTTTATAATAATATTTATATATTAATTTAAATGAAAAAAATAAAAAAAGATATATTTTATGAGTTATATATACTTATAATTATTTATTAAAAAATACTTATAATTAAATATTATAATAATTTTATTACAATAGATTTTTTTTTTTTCAAATAATTTGTTTTTTAGTATAATTATTAAAATATATTATTATTTTTTATATCAATATCAAATATAAAATATTATAGGATTGAATTAAAAATGAATTTTGAATTTAGAATTCTTAAAAATTTTGAAAAAATTAAAGATAATTTTCTAAATAAAATTCTTTTAAAAATAAGTTTATTATATATTTCTTTTAAAAAAAAACTATATAATTTTAAAGTTTAAAAGAAATAAATAATATTTTCAAAATTGTCATTTTCTTATTCATTAATTTATAATAGATTTAATATTGATTTTTATATTATTTTTTATTTTTAAAATGATTTTATTATTTTTATATTACATTCTTTTATAATAATTAAAGATTAAACTTATTAAATTTAATTTGATTTATAATTTTTCTTTTTCTTTTTACAAAAAGAAAAGTAAATATATTTTAAAATAATTTTTAAATCTTTTTTAATTTTTTTAATTTAAATATACTTTTAAAATCTTATTTAAAACTTAATTCTTAATGTTTTTTTAAATGTTTAGACTTTTCTTTTAAAATATTAATATAAAAGAATTTGAAAAACTAATTTTTAGTTTAATAAATAAATTTTAATATAATTTTTTATTATATTTTTAATATTTTACAATAATATTATTTTAAATTGATCAATATTTTGTTTTATATTTTAAATCTTTTAAGAATTCAGTTTGCTTTATGATACTTTTAAAACTTTTATATATTAATTTTGAAATTATTATAATGATTTTTGAATTTATAATCGATTTTTAATTCAATAAATAAAAGTGTGCAAGATACAGGGTTGTGTAAGATGTAGGGATGTCGATTAAAAGATCTATGTTCAATTGAAAGTAATCCTGGGCAACATAACATACAGGCCACTACTTTCATGATTGCAAACTTGGATCTTCTTCCAGATAACGTGAAGTTTACCTCATGATTGGTGTTGCCCTGGCTGGAGAGATGAAAAGTCAAGTCATGTCACCCGAGGATAAGCGCAATCAACCGGTGATTACTTCAAAGCTTTACTCACTGTTCAGGAGAGCAGCAAATTCTAGCACTGTCGATAATACTATGCCAGACATCATTGATTAACAAAGTGAGGCGGACAGCACCGCCTCGATTGAATGGTTCAAACTCAATCTCGTATGCCACGGAATTCGATTCCCGCCCTTTATCGGCGGTTTGTTCTGCTCCTCCAATTCAGCCACATTCATGAATTTGCGCGCAGAGGGGCGTTGGTAGTGAAATTTACAACAAGTTGTAAATGTACCTTTTCGATAATGCACATACACATTCAATTCTATGTGCTCCGACGTTCGGATACCTTCATATGACCCCCCAAAGGTCTGGGCCAGCACAGAGTTGATACCTGAGCCGCCCTTTTAGCAAAATATGTATCCGAGCTTTGTAGTGTAAGAAGGGTCGAAGTAGGTTTATAAGTATCTGGTTTTCTCCTTGATTTCTCTCTCTTCATTCATTATCAACGAAGTTATCTAACTTTCAAGCCTTGTCTTGGTATTCACGCTTCAAATCAAGCATATAAATATTGTCACTTCAGCCTTCTCTTCTGGTAACATATAATTTCTCTTTATTTGTCCCATTAGTAGCATCCTACCTGACAAGCAAACCACCAATCCAATCGGCCTCCTTCGGTTAATACAATCATCATTTGTTTCTAACCTATTTCGTAAGTCATTTACCCAAGCCTTGTCAGACGCCTCATATCTAATATTCCGAAAGTTCTTTTAGCCTTTCAGCATGGCTCCTCCAGTTTATAACAATAACACCAAAGACATTTATCGAAATGATTCAGATGACTGGGCTGTCATCTGTGAATTCTGTCTTAAAGCCGTCTTGGCAACCAGACCTCCTTTTTACAATGAGGTCAATTGTAGTTGCTCGGAGCTTGGCACTCATTCTGCTGGCATTGTCTTGGTCACACAGCAGGATACCCAAATGTTGGAGCCAAAGATTACCGTCTATGAAGAACCTACTTATGTATATCAACGCCCTATCCCGGGATATGTTTCCTCATATAACCAGACTTCAACTCCGCATGAAGAACTTCTTGTTTGTGAGAGCAGCAACAACTTTCAAAACTTCAACATGAACTGGAGCAACGATGATCTCAGAAATGGTACCAAAAATGCAAAAGACCAGCCATACTCTGTCGAAGGCTACTCGTGGGCTCTCCGTTCCTGGCTGGAGAAAAACGAGTCCTCGTGTACTCTCGCATCCAAAACCTCTTCAATGAAGGCGAAGAAGGGAAGCAAGCGAGGTGGATCCAGTCTTCATAACTCTGGTAGTAGTTTGGAACTCGAACACAAGGGGTGGGGACCTAATCCTCTCACAGAGACTGGAGCTTGGACTAGTGAGCAGTATCAAGATACGATTGAGAGCACATTGGCCATGAGTGGCATGAACAATTCTTGGTCGCGTCAGTTGGTGTAGTGGTTTTTGTTTTGATTCGGTATAGGTATTCTAGGAATGTAATCTAAAGGACAGGTCATGTATTATGAAGCGTGTTGGTTTGACAATTTATGTTTCTTGGTGTAAGGGGTTAGCATGAGGGTAAATTGACTTGGCAACAAACTTTCGTTATGGGCCTGCGAGATTTGGGTACTAGAAGGCGCTAATGGGAGTTATTAAATCTAATCGTTCACCATTTCTAAAGATCAAAATATTTTGCAACTCTTGTATGTTGAGCATTGCCAGCTTACAGGGTTGAGCGGAGACGCGGTCGTTCCTTCCTCGTTTCTCCAGTTCCCTTCCCATCTTGCCCGTCACTTCATCAAATTGAAAACCTCAAGTTCCCATTTCCCCTGCTTTCATTTTTTGTTTTGTTCCATTCAATAGTCATATTCCCAATAAATGCCGAAATATATGCAACTGATTTTTCTTTCGGTTTATCTCAGACTTCTCTTCTCGCTATCTTTTCCCATTAGCACTTATTCTTCTGTATTCTCATATCTTCGTAATTTACATTAACATATCCCCCTTCGTTCTCATCTGAACCTTCCGATACCACTTTGCGAGCCCAGAGTTAAGGGGTGGAGCTGGCTGACCAAAAGAAGCGAGGCCCTTATGCGTGAGAAAGAGGCCTCGGAAAACTTTCGAGTAAATGGTGAATCCATCTTGGTATTCTCTTTTTCGCATAACATATTCATTTGAAATTTTAACTATCATTGGATCATTCTCTACAAGTTCAAAATTTGGTTTGTAATCCATTGTTTGTTTGTTTTTTGCTCTTTCTCGTCTCCTGTTTCTATTTTGTCCACTATTTTCTGCATTACATTCTCTGTGAACTTATCTCTTTCCTCATATAGTACGATTATCTCTGCTTTTCTCCATGACGTCAAATTCGTCTAAACTCTTTCTTAGTTTTAACGGTATCTTGGCTCCCAATCAAGCGATTTTGTAGTCAATTATGTCTCTCGATTGAATATAAACTGAAGCTAATAGCTTGACCGAGGCTTTCATGTCAGAAACTTTGTCTTTTGGATTTAAAGCTCGGTCTGTAAGTAACAAGCAAGTGGAAATCACCTGTTCACTTCAACAATGTACTAGTTTGAAAAGAAAGCAAGATTAAAGATGAGCCTGGTAGACAATGTTCGTTAAGCAAAACATCAACTTCTCGTATATTGATCTTAGGTACCAGGGAAAATCGAACTGAGCTGAGCTGCCGTACATAAAGATCTCAAGGAAATGCCAGCCATTTTTGAAACTGATGAAAAGTGCAAGCCCAAAGTCCAAAGTCCATAAATTCAGCAACACAAACTCCCTTCTTTGTAATTCTGGTGTTCAGGTGCGGTACAGATACAATGATACCCCAACACGTCAGATTTTTGAACATCAAGTACAGCAGCTCAAATTAGAGTTCCTTGTTGATGTAGTCATTGGTTGCTGAATATATCTATATCACATAGAACCATTCAATTGAAACATACTACAGTGTTACAATATTATGATCATCGACCTCGTACCGGGCACCCCGTATCGAGCAGTAGAACGTGATCGAGCAATCTTTATATAAGATCGATGGCGATATCCCACAACTGAATTCTCTTTCCTGCTCTTTACCATTAATACATTCTCACCTTCTACTCATCTTGTCTCAGCAAGGCAGCTTCTTTAGATATCTCTCCCCGAACAACGAGTTCACCATACAACTCATCAAATCATCACTTCTTTCGCAATATCTAAAACTAAAATGCCTCCTTCAAGCTATTTCAAGCAATGGCCGGAATTCCCTTCCAATGTACCAATCGCCGATATGTCAAGAATCTCCTTCAAGAACTTGCAAAGCAATAATTCCAATGAATCTGCGAGATTGTTTGACGCATGCAGAGACCAAGGTCACTTTTTACTTGACTTGACAGATTCTGATAACGGAGAGACCCTGTCTAGTGAGGCAGGATCTATGATGGACGTTGGTAGAGAAACACTTGATCTCGATCGGAAGATTTTGGATACATTCATGTATAAGCCACCAAAGAGAATGGTTGGGTATGTAGTCTAGATATCTCTTCTTGAGAGAAAAGAACTAACAGATGGGTAGATATAAGCCATCTCGGACTCTTCAGACCCCTGACGGACGCATAGATTCTGTCGAGTTCTTCGCCATTTCCCAAGATGATGCCGTTGGAAACAAACAACCACTTACTAATCCGCAGCCAGTAGAGCAGGACCGCGACAACATCAAGAGATTCTTTCAACACGCTCACGCAGCACTCGACCTGATCCATTTTCATCTAGACATGAGTATGGGGCTAGCGCCAGGTACTCTTGAAGCTTTGAGCTCTATCAACAAAACCTCCGACTCAAGCATTAGAATGTTGTGCACTCGACCCAAATCTGTCAAAGAGGAGTTCGTCACCCTCAACAATCATACAGATATTGGCTCAATTACATTATTGTTCACAGTTTGTGGCGGCCTACAGGTCTTGGGAGCAGGAATAGAGAATATCGAAGCTAACTGGAGATATGTGAGACCGGAGCCCGGTTGCGTCATTGTTCTAATCGGAGATACAATGGTAGAATGGACTGCGGGAGCTGTGCGTGCTTCCATACACCGCGTCGTTACTGCGCCGGGAAAACAGGCTGCGGCAACGAGATTGGGTCTAGGATATTTCCTCAGACCTTCTCATACTACGAGAATGACCAGATTGATTAGCGACAATGGTAGTATCCCTATGCTTGCACCAGGAGAGGTTGGAGACGAGCGTGGTGTTACGGAATGGGCGCAGTGGAAAGCCAATGGAGATGTAGCGGCGGTGATTGCGGCGGCGGGCAAGGGAAAGTAGGCAGTGGGGTTAAGTGATGATATGAGTTAAGGAGAGACAATGAAACATCCTTGTTAGTTCGTAATCCAATTATACTAGGCAATCTACAAATATAAATGCAGGTTCATACAAAACTCTCATGCTCTGTTTCTCTTTTTCTTTGCGTCTTTTCCTCAATAGCTCATACTCTTAAGCTCTCCAACCTACCCACCACAAATTCCATCAATGCCCCCGCTTCAGCCCCATTCACATCTTCTCTAACCCCCAAACACCTCTCCACCACCTCTCTATACCCCCTCCCAACTTTGCTACCCAACCCCGGCACTAAATTCTGCACCACGATCTTATCCCTAAATTTCTCCGCTGAGTAGTGCGGTTTATGATATGTCTGTAATGTTTTCCACAAGCCAATCTCTAGTAATATTAACCCTAGAGAATAAATATCAAAGGATTTACAATACTCTTTGCGCGGACAAGAAGAGGAATGTAGAGACGAAGGATGGCGGTGGAGATCCGCTGCTGTAGGATTGCGAGATGCGATGGACATTTCCCCCATATGGTCTGGACGGGAGGCGTCAAAACCGAGAAGATATGGTGTGCTTATATCTGGTACGTTTTCTCGTTCCTTTGAGATACGAGGACTTTTTGTGTATGCACTGGGGAAAAAAAGAATATTGGAACTGCAGAGGTTTTTATGCAGCCAGTCTAAGGAGTGAAGGGACCAGAGAGCAACAGAAAGTGTGTGGGCGAGTTTAAAGCGGTCACCTAGATCAGGGGTGCGGAAATCGTTGCTGGTGATGAGAGAATTGAGGGTTGAGGAGGAGGGAGATGGGGAGCGGTAGATGAGTCCGTAGCGAGAAGATGTACTATCGTCTGTGTAGCCGAGAGAATCAATTGTATGGAGATCTGGATGACGATTAGAAGCGCTATGAATCATGCGTGCGAGGTCGTCTATTCGACGAAGATGATTTAATCGAGCATCGATATCTTCTTTTTCGTATTCTACCCATTCAACTATAATGTCTTGTGGCTCGGCTGATGATCGGTTTCTATACTGCCCATGCGTCCTTCCTATGTCTGAATTCTTGACCACTAACGCATGGCGTTGAATTTTCAAGGTATAGGTTGGTTTGAAATTCTTGGTTTCCTTCTCGTCTAGATTGATTCTCAATTGTTTGAGATTGGCCGAGACATTCAATGCCGGATAAACCCCACTACTCGCCGCCTCCAGATCTTTCAGCTTGTGTAAATCTCGATGTGCACCTTGTAATAGTTCATTCGTCCACGTCCTGTGGAGAGTTGCTAGTCTTGACGGTGGAAATAGCTGTTCCAGCCCATTATTATAATCTTTCAGATCCTGCAAAAGTACCGTGAACTTCTCCTTATCACTAATAACCCATTTGACTCTCTTCGACAATTCACTCCTCAAACTCAATTTCCCTATTCCAAAGCCTACTTTCTCTTTCTCCACCTCCCTGTCGTAACTTTCTCTTCTCTCAATCTCATCTCTCCCTCCGCTCTGTTCTACGACCCCATATTTCTCTCTCAACCTCTGAAAGTCCGTAATAGTCCTGTACAACTCACTCAGAATCTCCATCGCCAAACCTCTCAACCTCGCATTGCCAATCCCCTCTTCTCTTTTCAATTCCTCCTCAAATCTTCCCTCTAAAACTCCCCACTCCCTACCCCAAACCAGTAATCTCATCTCCTCAATCTTAATTTTGCAGATAAGTTTTTCCGAGTCTCGTGAGAGATCAGAAGCAGTTGTGAAGAGTGAGTAGGCTGTTATACAGCCGGAGAAGATTTGACCAAGAACTCCAACGGCTCCGACAATCGAGAGAGCTGTACCGAGGGCTTCTGCCATGGCGTTGGTCATACAGTGGGGGTATGAGATGAGAGAGGTAGTTTTGAGGGGCACGCGAAGTGTAGGTATAATGCAATGTTAATGCATAAGTATATATATATACAAGAGAACGCTACCGAATAAATAGACCTGTGTATAACCAATAGGCTAATACCTAATCTCGTGATAAATACACATCAACATGAATAATAAATGTGGATGGAAGATGTCGGTTATCATTAAGAAATACCTTATAACATAAATCTGACAGATCAGCTTGTGGTTAGTGAGGAGAAGAAAAACTTTGGTTGCAGGTGATGATAGTGGCTTACTAGGATTAGCAATGCAGGTCAGAGGTTGGTCTGCGGCTGTCTGCCACTCGTGATAGGTGGGATGAGCCATCTTGCATTTCATGAAGCCTCTTAAATCGTGCAAGAACTGACTTACTTACTTTCACTTGCATACGGAGAAATATTCTTACCTATGGCTTCTTTGTGATAAAGGGCAATCTCTTTAGGATGTGCTAATAATAATACTATGTTGTTTCGAGTCATGTTGATGGCCCGGCCTCGAAACAATAGTCTTTTCATTTTATTGAAACGTGCAGGAAACATATTTGGCTCATAAGTCATTCATATACTTTGTAGATTTGCCAGCTCTGAGATTTACAGTCAGAAGATGTTGACGCTATACTTAAAGTAAGCCGCCCATCCGCTGAGTCTTCCTTCGAAGGAAGAAACGATAACAATAATAGAAAACTTTCCCTCATCAAATTGAACTCCGCCCTAAATGCACGGCTCGCTGTTTGCTTTTTCCTGAACCTTCACTGCTCTGCTCTCGTTTCAACCTCACCACTCAAGTTTAGTAGACCTTCTTCTTCTCGTCGATGGAGTATTTCCCTGGTCCGCTATTGACGAGGAGGAGGAGACCGCCTACAATAGATAGAATTTGGAAGAAATCGTACTTTGCGAAGTCCTTGTGGGGGTGGTGTTCGTGAAGCTATGGTAAATTAGTCTAGTGCCCCGCGTAAGCAATAGAGCTTTACTTACAGTCCAAAAGTTGTTTACCAATACGTTGAAAACACTCAAGATAAGCACAAGCATGATAGCACTGAACTTTGCCTTGAAGCCCACGACAACCATAACACATGCAACGAGACCGAAAAGTGCCACAATCACTCTCCAAACACTCCAGGTACCACTGAAAACGAATCCGACGAAGAGGAAGATCAACAAGACACGGCCAGCAAGCTGGAAGTACATTTTGCGGTCCTTCTCATCGATCTCCGGAAGACCAGCAAAAGCCTTTGATTTGCGGACCCATGAATCGGACAAAACCATCAATAGACCACCCATGACCGAAAGATTTCGGAGGAAAAAGTTGAGGTCGAAGATGAGACCGTATCCAAGAGCTTGTACGACTACTACGCCAATCAATCCACCAACAGCGTAATCCGAGTATCTTCGTGTGATAACAAGTGTAGAGCATGAGACCATTGCGAGTACGTTGACGGTCAGGAAAAGATGTGTAAGACCGCTTGGGACTAGAAGATTGTTAATTATGCTGTGCCATGTTTTGAGCAGATAGGTAGCATACTGTGTCGGTAATCATGCAGATATAATAGTTGATCGCTCCACTGTGTAATGATTCTCAATGCATCCTCCAGGAATGTAACGACAATCAAGAATCGTCCGATGGCTGGCAAGTATCTGCAGAAAATAAGAGTTAGAAGATTGAAGAAATACGAGTAAATTCAAGCACAGAATTAGACCCCCCAAGCTGTCCTCTGCGGGGTCCTCTGAGGGAACATGGACATACGGCTTAACAGGATCACTTAATGTATCCAAGAAATCCTCAATCTTGCTTGTTTGTTCTCTGATCGCATCGAGAGTACCGAGTTCGTTCTGTTTATCCATTCCACCCATACTTGGTCCTCCTCCGAATGAGTTCTGCCCACCTAAACCATACCCTGCATTGCCGCGTATCGACATTGTCGCAATTTTGCTGAACTTGCACCAAATCAAAGAAAGTAAAAGGGGTCGAACCGAATTGTAGTCAATTAAGACCAAATATTGTCATGTACCTGCGAAAGGTGGACTGGTATTATTTCAAAGGGGTGGAGGTATGAAGAAGAGGAATGGATGAAGCTTTTGAAGTTTAAGGTCTTTCTAATAAGATTCTCGGTAGAATAACCTAAAGGACAGATTGAATAATGATCCGAGGAACCTAACGAACCTAACGAATTACCCCATTTAGTACTGCTGCTATATGCGGAATGCAATACAATTAATCTATTAATTATTTTGTCAGGTGAATAATAAAATTAACAAAGCTCTTTGTATTCGTATTGAGGTCAATAATCTTAATCACAATCGAAGTATTTATAACATCATCACATCATCATTTTTGGGTTTAAATCAAAATAAGAGAAAGATAAATATCAAAAGTTTAAGATTCTCCGTACTCATTCTTAAGGCTCCACTGTGGGATTTGCCCATCACACATGATATCTATAGCTGTGATTTTCCCCTCGGTACCCAGCGTAGTGAGCTGATGTTTCTCGTCAATCTCCATCTCGCGATTCAGGGGAAATTTTGTGACGATCTTCAGTTTCCTGATGTATAACTCCCAATTCAGATAGCTTGATGCCGCCTTACCAGATTCTAAACGATATCCCGCTATAACGCCTTAAATCATAATGGTAACACATAAATACGATCCGAAGAGTTGTTGTTTTTTAATAAGCGAAAATTCTTAATGGAAAGCACTCAGATCCAACGGAACACTACTTCCACGACCAGCCCGGTATTTTTTGGGCCCACCAATAAAATCTCGAGGTTTTGGGAATACCGATTCATCTGTAAATTTCCATCGAGGATCATTGATTATGATTCTTCGGCTAGAACTAGAGGCTTGCGGTAAACTGCCATTTGATGAGAGGGTGTAAGAACTAGAATCCATTGTGTGAGTTCTTCCTTGTTGTTGACTTTGACTTCTTGATATTGGTGCCGCTGGGGGTGCAGCGGGTGGAGATGGTGCTCTGTGTGACAATAAAGAGGGAGGCCCATTAGATGGAGGAGGTGGAGGTGCACTCATTGGTGATGCTTGACCAGCAGCACGAATTGCTGCTTGCATAGCAAGACTTTGGTTACCACCGTTAGTCGAAGGTGGAGATGTTGGTGGTGGTGGTGGAGGTGCATGTGATCGAGGTGGGTTACTGGGAGGGCGTGGAGCTGGGGAAGGTGGTGGTGGTGCAACAGGTGGCGGAGGTGCTGAAGAAGGAGGTGGAGGGGCGAATGCTGGAGGCGGCGGTGGTGGGCCTGATAACGCTGATGATGGCTTTCGAGTTCCGGGGGGTGGTGGAGGTTTTTTGCCAATAGGGGGTGGGGGCCCTTTGAGAGAGGCTGAGGATGCAGGACGAGAAATAGATGGCCCGCCGGTCTTTCTCAGATTCGCAACAGAGGGCGCAAATGCGGGAGAACTAGCGCTGGGCTGAGGAGGAGGCCTAATTGATGGTAAAGGCGGAGCTGCGTTTGTTGGAGGTCTGGGAGCAGCTATACCTGGCGGTCTGGGAGCAGAGAATTCTGGTTCTGATACAGTCGATGAGTCGCGGTTTGCTGTAAGAAAATTAGACATATCTCAATTATATAGAATGTAAAATCTTACCGCCAGTATCCACTCCTCCACCTCGTTTCTTCAACTTGGGCATGCCACCTGCGAATATTCCTCCTAGCTGTGGAGCTTGTTCCATCCCCGAGACTGCATTATTGCTTCCTTGGTTACTATCACTTCGAGCTCTATTTCCTCCTGGTACTGGCGGTGCGCCAAACCCACTGGGAGGTTTTGCCATTCCCGGTACTGGTGGAGCACCTCCTATTGGCGCCGGTCCAGAACCATTAGATACTTTGCCTACTATCGGTGCCGATCGATCGTTCGTTACAGCTTTTTTGAGTGCTCTTCCCTTCGTGATATCCGACAAAAGTGCGCCCTGTGGTTTGATTAGCAACACTAACTTGACAATCTCAAAGTAAATGTACAGCTGGGAATTTTTACTCTATTGGCAGCAACTTTCGCAGGTGGTCTAGATGGCATAGCTCCTGGAGCTCCTCCTGGCGGCGGTGGTGGAGGTGGACCCCCAAATCCTCCAGGAGGAGGAGGTGGTGGTGGTGGTGGTGGAGGAGGCATGATTTCGTGAATAACAGTTGTTTAATCTTGAGAAGGAACAACGTTTAATGCAATCTCAAAGGGGTCCTCTGGCCGAAAAACTTGGTGTCGTGTTTCATTCAAGCTTGAAATTTCAAGAAAATGTGTTCAAATGGAACGAACTAATTGAATGTTTCAATGCTTCAAAGAAGATGCCTAATAAATAGAAGCTAGGAAAGTTATTAAGTCGGATGCATACATTGAGTTCGTCGTCACGATTGTGGCTCATGCATCGAATTCCGCCTTCTTTATTAGTCAGCCATATCACGCACAGGGGTGTCGAGCAGGGATATGACATCTTGACAGGATGCGGGCTTATTAGTGATCTTGACTACAGCTTGTCGAAAAACCTCAAATTAAAGACACCGGAAACTTGATATCGCCCTACATAATGTCCAAACGACTTTTCAAGCCTCGGTCGGACGTCTGCCGTATATGCGACTTCATAACGTCTCAATATCCGCAAGCAATAAACACTATTCCTCGCACATTTACCACCACTACCAGGAATCGATCAAGCAAACCTCCAAAGTCTACCCCTTTCAATCCTTTGCGCCAGTATTCAAGTCCAGCTCATGTACGACCATCCCGGCATATCACGGAAGCAGAACTCGAGCAAGTATTAAGGCGTGGAATCGATGCCTGTAATAAATTGTTTTCGGAAACTGTAACTTCGGAAAAGGCCATTCTGGATGTTTTACATACATGCCGATTGATTGCCACGGACGTTGCTGGAGAGCCTGCTAAATCATCAGACACAAAGAAGGATGTAACTGCCGCTGCATCTTTACTTTCCTTGGCTGATCGAGGATCAAAAAAGCTGCGAGTCCAAAAGCTATCCCGTGAGAATCCACTTTTAGTGGATGAGCTTTCGCGAGCCCTATTTTCGATTGTCTCCCATGAGTCTGTCTTCATATCACCAGAGATTTTAGAAATATATATCAGCGCACAGTCATGTCTAGGAAAACCCGAGACTTTTCCAGAAGTATTTTACATGTATGCGAACAAGCCGATCTCAATCGAAGGCTCTAAAGGAAAACAGTTCAAAAAACAGAATCCAAATAAGGTCAACAATGCCATACCAGTTGCCGTGGCAGATCAAGCTCTACAAACCGCAATAGATGCTAGGGAATTAGATGTAGCTATGGATATCGTTGATACAGCATATGCGCAAAAATCATTTCGTCGTGCTAAATTTATCCGGAAAGGACTGTTACCCACCACCGGGCTTACTGTGGCACCTTTTGGAGCTTATATTGTTGCATCACAACTTGCTATGTTCCAGGACTCCATGGAACCCGGCATGGCCACAAATATCGCATTTGCTGGGATATTAGCATATATGGGGTTTACCACCACTATTGGTATTGTAGCCGTGACTACAGCCAATGATCAAATGGATCGCGTGACTTGGGCCCCAGGTATGCCACTGAGAGAGCGCTGGATCCGTGAAGAAGAACGGGCAGCGATAGATAAAGTCGCGGGATCATGGGGTTTTCATGAAGAATGGCGGCGTGGCGAAGAAGAGGGCAAAGATTGGGATCGATTGAGATTGTGGATCGGCAATAAGGGAATGCTGCTCGATGCAATAGAACTTATGGAAGGTATGGAGTAGTTAAGCTTTAGAGGGGTATGAATCACTAGCCTGTCAGCTTGAAGCCTGTTGCTTTGATTTCGCTAGCGCGGATATCGCGTATGATCATGACTCTGGAAATTATCAAACTCTATGGCTTCAATTTGGTAAAGGTTTCATATACGTTATTCTTTTCGGAATCTCACTTCGACTCGAATGATTTTGCGAGCGCACAACTCAAGCCAAAGCGGTACATGAGTACGACAAATCCAAGATGTACTCAAGTAGATCCCTCACTCGCTACCTGTTCTCGAGCAAAAAGGTAGAAACTATTTCCACTAGTCTCATTAGTTTCACAAGCGCAGAGACGGCTTTATTGTCAGTGAATTCTGGGGCAGTCTAAAAGCTCCGAAGCTCTTCCACTACAATATATGATGATTTCCGGATGAGCTATAAAATTGTTCAATCCGTGTCTTTTTCCAAGAGAGTCTGAAAAAAATTACTTTAACTACAAGCCACACATTAAATTCCATTTTTCGTTACTAAACTTCTTCTCAATATTCAACATGCCATCCAACATGACAGATCCAATGCAGTCAGAGAAATGTCTTAAGCATGGCCATTTCATGCACAACCTAAACGCGAGCGCAGTAAAGAGTATCTTCTGGATTCTCTTCTTAATTGTTCTCATCATGTTAACCATTGCAACGAGTGTCTTTACTAAAAGTGCCCACATAGCCACGTATGTTTGTCGCCTTGTCACCCCATTCATCTGCTATAAGTCCTCATCGCCAGATAATTAACACGGGTGCTCAGACACATCAGAAACGCAGAATTGCATCCGACAATTTCTAGAGATCTCTCCCCAAGACTGCTCTCCATCAGTAAAGAAAAGCAGCGTCGCACTCAAATTCGATGCATCTATGTCTCTTCCCTTTGTCTTGTTGTCGCAATAATCTGCACAGTTTTCGAAGCCTTCGCCGCATCCAGTCTCATCTTTTGTCATGAATTAGATATGGCCTTCCTATATTGGTCATTCTGGACCTTGCTTCAAGTTGGCAGTACTATTGCCATTTTCGGTATCGGATTGGCTCAACTATGGTCGTATTTGGGAAGGGAGTCGCTTCCGGTCAAGTATGTATTATAAGCTACCCCTCGACCACGTTCAATCTCTCATCTTGGTCAAATATCTCATCTTGTTGGGAAACCAGGCTAGCTCGAAGTCTGACTGACTGATATCTACGGAATAGTGTCGCAATCGGAACACCGGTTTTAATCATAGCCTGGCTAGGTGTGGCAATTGAATATATATGTAAGGGATGGGTGAGTGAGAAGACATTAAAGAGCTTTGAAACTTTTGTCGACGATTTAATAGATTCGCCTCGGTAAGTTCTTTCTGACCTGTCCAACTTTCAAGGTACCTATCAGTTTGCACTATAGTCCGACAACCAGGGACGTCAAACTTTCAATAAATTTGAAATATTCAAATGTTTTGAAAGGCTGGATTCATTTTCAATGTTGAAAGGCTTTCAAATACTGAACGCACCTGATTGTCAAATCAGTATCAGGACTATTTATTACCCTATTTCAAACAATTCTAGGATCTACAACCCACAAGCTAATATCCAGCAGCCAAAGTGAACTCACCGCTGAAGCCAAGAACCAAGCCAGCACGTCCTCCGTCCCAACTGCCGAACTCTTAGGGTTTACACTCGATAATCGTCCCATCATTGCGTTCAAAAGATTATCCGGCACACCTCATCCCATGGCTCGTCACGTAAGTACTACTGATGACGGTCGTTCAATATACATATATGGGGCCATGCCGACTGACCCCATTGATGTCGATATCAATAACAACTCTGTGAGACCCAGTTTGTCTATGGCTACTGGGCAGATGGAACGACTAGGCAGAACGTCTCGCACCGTAACCTTTGACCGCGAACCTGAAGCTTCGTATGCTCCTGCTTCGTCGATGACATCTCGAGCAAGTTTACTTCATTCGATACGTGGTGAGAGGTCCACGTCGAGAAGCCTCAACAGCGCTGGTGAAAGTAGATTTGGATCTGACGAACGTGTTTGGAGATGATGTGCAGGAAGAATAAAATGGAAACAGGGCTCTCAATGGTCGCGATTACAATCCGAGAGTAGAGGGTCATTGGTTTCTTTCGAAACCAGCCAACAAACCTGGTGCTCCATTCTAAACTATTAGACAAGATGGGTGGAGGATCTAAGCACTTAGCACGTGAGATCGCTATCTGCACACAGTAATATATCGCTTCATTCTGGAATAGGAGAGGGAGGAAAAGGCCTCTGCTTATGCCGCAGTCGTCATTGGGATGCTCAACATGACGACACAAGCGGTTTACATCATTTAGGATATTTAGATACTCCTATGAATCTCTAGCGATGCATCCAACAGACCAATAAATAATTGATTATCACTGTGTCTCCGTAATGGATGTTTTCCGTGACATCAGGATTCAGATGACACCCCTTTTACCCCATATTTGATGTACAAATCATTGCCCGTATTCATCGTCTACACTAGCTTAAAATATTCACTCTCATCATATCACTCTCATCATATCACTCTCATCATATTACTCTCATCACATCACTCTCATTGTCGTCCGCCTCTGAAATACACCATATGCATAAAAATCATTCCAAAAATCGACTTCTCAACCGCATCAAAACCAAAACCATCAACACTTTCCGCAAGTTCTCACATCCGAACTATTCCCATCGAAATTTGAAGACAAACACATATTCCCGGTGAGCTCCAGGTAGCGTCGTTATAGAATCATAATCCCCGACCAGCTTTCTGTAGACAGAAATACAAGCCGGAACATAGTATATTTAGGTAGGTTTTTACTACGATCTTTCCTACCACACTTTCTACTTCCTTCTCAATGGGATTGATTTCCTTATTCGCTTCGATCATACTAGCATTCGCCTCCTCAATTCATTCTCCTTTATTCACTTTTGTCTTCGGTAAACTCTCTCTCCCCCCTATGCTTGCTCGTTTCTTTTAATTCGAGGGTAGCGTTTCACATGTTAGGCGTATGTATTAGAAGCAAGCCTCCGACTGCCAGGTTGGCTACAAGTTTCACAGCACAAATACAGAGTATCCGAAATTCTGAGAGATATTTAAGCTTTTGCTCTTCTTATAAAACCTCACGCTATGCATAACAGGACATCTACTTGATAAGGATATGCTCAATGCTTTCGTAATCTCATCCCATCTCATCTCATTCCAAATAACCCCATCCTAAACCGCTCTCCCCGCCTTCCCAACCTGTATAATTTCGCCCGTCCTCTGCTCATCACTTCTCAACACTGGCCAACTAGCACCATCAGCCTTCATCAATGTAACTTCCAACTTTGTGCCCATAATTTTGAATGACGATGCTTCTGTATCGATTGCGCCAAAGAGCGGAACTATAGTCTTATAGCGTTTGGGAACTGCGTCTGTGGTAGGAAGATCGAGAGTGAGTTCTTGAGGGGCGGAGAAGGATACGACTGCATCCTCCTTCTTGATCTTTTTGAGGAAGAATGAGGCGATGACAGAGGTTGCTGTTTGGTAGAAATCGTGTCTGGATTTTATTATCATTAGTACTGCACTTATAACTTCTTCAAAGAACGCCGTCTCATAACAAAATAGAACTAACTCACCTAACCGTGTCCAAAATCTCCTCACCCCCCTCCTTCGCCTTCCCCTTCCCACCACTACCAATGAACAAATGTGAACCCTTGGTCTTACAACCCTCAATTTTCATAAATTCATCAAACTCCAAAACTCTCCTTTTGCAGCAAGTATATCCCTTACTACCCTCATGAAAAATGGGCACACCGGGATGAAATACACATTTCTCCCCCTCTCTACTCTTTCCCTCATATTGCTGACCGCAAGCTTTCCTCCTGCAAGTTTTACCCACTGGAATTTCTAGCGACGCATCATCATCCTCGGATTCTGGTGCTGGGGGAGGAGGGGTAGCTGTAGCTTGAGGAGCTGGCGCAATTGGTGCTCTAGCAGGTTCGGGAGAAGGAGAGGGCGCTGAAGCTTCAGATACATCTGGAGCTGGTTTCTTCTCTACCTGAGGTGGGTGATCTGTGGTACTGTGTTTACCAGTTGTGCAGGGTGGAATGGCGAGGAATTCGTCGAAAGTTAGGACGCGGGGTTTGCAGCATTTCCAACCTGTTTTTTGGCACATTTTAGTTTCATAAATAAAAATATAGAGCTACATAAAGTGAATGGCATGAGCCAGCATACCTTTTTGACCCTCATGGAAAACCGGTGGTCCAGGATGGTACAGACAGTCTTCCTCAGGATCAGTATAAACCTTTGTACAAGATTGATGTACACATTTTTGCGCCATCTTGTCTAACTTTCTGTTCAATAGAATCTCGGGAACAATGAAGAAATCTTGAGAAAAGACTGCTGGTTCGAATATTAAACTTTGTATATCGTGTAAATTGAAAAGTCGCCATCAGATCTTCTTCCCCAACTTCTAGAATACTCTAAAGTATTCTGCCGTAAAGTGACTCTCACCGCCTCTTGACATCCCGGTCCGTTGGAAGTTTAATCTGAACGGGGGGAGGGGAGGACAAATCAACCCTTGCCCCGGAGCGAATCATCCTTATTGAGCTATTATCAAACTGATCTGGAGGCTCATATCAAGAGATCTTTGAAATATAAGAAATTGGCATCTTAAATCGATATGTTTCCAACAAAACGATTACTCCAAGCATGTCGAATCACGCTTTTCACAAGAGCTAATTGTTCACTCTGTACCAACGCCAAAGATACATTATTTAAAGTTCGAGACACAAGACCATTTGTATATAGAGAGATTGCGGTCATGGAAGATGGACAAAAGCACTGGAAGGATTTATACGAATTTGATACACCTGTGGTTGGTTTAGGTACCTTGACCCAAATTTAGCCAAAGCTTGCTGATATATTTTGTTAGATTCATGTTAGCAGGGAGGATGCTGGGGAGGAACAGTCCGAATTGGCATCTAAAGCAAGAAAGCTGATGCATAGATTTACCGAGGAGGAAGTCAAGGCAAAGATGGATGAAGTGGAAGGGAAAAGCTCTGTTTGATATCTGCCGAAACTGTACCTCTACAATCTATTCTAATACCCGAAGGCCTCTTCGCACGGTTCTGATTAAGTATATGTACACCAATCATCGGTCTATCGGCCGTAAGGACCAGTCAATTTGGGGCCATCTTCTTGACCCTTTGCCTTGTTCACGGCAGCGATTACACCCTGTGGTAAAATATGCATATCTGTTGCAACACTCATCATGTGAAACCCCTGATCTGCGTACCCTTTCGCTTGTTCTCCACTCGTACAAAAGATACCGGCCTTTTTTCCAGCTGTGTTTGCCGCCTTCAAGATCTTTGAAATTGCAGCATGAAGGTTCTCGTGTATTTGTCCTGCAACGATGGGATGGCCAATGTTGTTGCCAAGGTCGAAAGGACCAATGAAAAGAACATCAATACCAGGAACAGCAGCAATGGCATCGACATTCTCCAACGCTTCCTTGGTTTCGATTTGTACCATGGTCAGAATACTCTCATTGGCTTGCTTCAGATATGCATCAGAGTTCAATTCGGGGTTGAAGCGTTCATGAGGAAAAGGTGATCCAAAACCTCTTTGACCTTGAGGCGGAAACTTAGCACTTTTCACGAGCTGTTCAGCTCCCTCGGCTGTTGTATAGGAGAGGTACAAGTACACCATGCGCACCACAGTCCAAAGCCCCTGTTGAGCCATTAATTTTTTACAAGCATACTGCAATGCGTCTTGATGACTTACGCTTAACCATCCATCCTTGATTATCTGGAATTCTAACTATCGGACTCACCCCGCACGCAGCAATTGCTGGAACTGCATCATGCATTGCGGCATCTGTTGGGCATTAGATAAGTGACGATAAATTGTCAATTTTTTTTATTAATTTGACGTCCTATATTGATTGATTCCTGGGTTTAAAAGATCAAGCTAGAAGTGCTGAGTGTGTGAATGAAAGTATCTCAGCAGAAAATAGAATAGGCATTGAATAATGAACGGAGATCCAAATAGTCGAGACTGCAGTCCAAACCCTGGAATTTCGAACGCTCGAGATTATTTGAACACCGGAATGTAGCTTAGTTTCCCAACTGTAGCCACTGCTTCATACAAATCCAGTGCCTAGAATAGATCCAAGAAACAGAAACCCTTCATTGCCTGGCGACATACCAGACCACCAGCAAATCAACGTGGCGGTGATTGAAACCACTCGGTTTAGTAGAGTCATTTAAGCTCAGTGACTACGTCTGTCTCATAACTCATGAATGTAAAGAACACGAACGAGTGGCTTTACACCACTCCAGAATGAAATGACTCACCGTCTATATTCCCATGCTCGCAATCCACCAAAACCCAATCAACACCTGTCCTCGCCAAAGTCCTCGAAACGTTGGCCCCTGGAATCATCTGCCAACAGCCCGTCGCCGGTCCCTTGCCCTCCCCCATCACCCTTCTCAAACGATTTGCTTCTTGCATGATTGACGCCATTTTATGGTAATTGTGTCCGTTTTTTACTAGAAGGCTATTCGCTAAGAACTTTGAAGAAGGAAGAAAAGTCGAATTAGATCTCAAAACAAGGTTGCAACGAGAAAGCATGAGGTATCAAGAAGCTGAGAAGTAACTTTATCTTTGTGTATGTCACTGATATGGAATTGCGTTATCGGATAATAACACTGACGGGACATGACGACTGACTATTACCCCACATTTTGCTGTCCTGCATAATGAACGTTCCTGCTTGAAGGACATGGGAAGGAGGGGTTGATTATGTTATAATTGATTGGGCACTCATTGCCTACTGTCCAGAAGTTACTACTAGAGCTTTCTGTGAGGTTTATATATTGAGAGATGATAAATTGGTGCTCGGTTGGCTGTTGCATGTCGAGAAAACAACTCCCAAAAATTAGAGATTCGTCTCGAACATTGAGCCAACATGGAAGATCAAAACTTGTGCAATTTGTCGACATTGCCAAATGCGGTAAAACATTGGGTTTCCCAAAAATGGGAATTTGATACCCCATCTCGAGAGAGAGAGAGAGCTAAGAAATTACCCAAATAGAAGCTCGTGGGGAAACAAGTACCTCAGGAGGAAGGTGGGGGATTGTGGTTTAACGTAAATCATGTGAGATTGCCCCCCATGAGCTTTATTCCTTGTTTGCCGTCCCTTGAGCCGAGATATGTCCCAAAACATGAAACATGAAGGTATTTTCATGCTCGTTGGCATCCTTGTATACTAGCTCGATGTTGATCTTAGCCATGTATAAACTAGAATGTTATTAGAACGCAAGCACAGATTGGAGAACTCGGCCAAGTTTGAATGTTGCAGATGTGTTGATGTCTACCTACTCCGTACTTGTTCATGAAGCCTGCTCCCTTTTACCCCTCATATTATACTTTGTAACATGGGTTCCCCCATACTTGAAACATGCATGATAATTGCCTTAAGCGTTTGTCATAGAATCATCAAAAAGCCCTCGAGTGGAACATCAATAGGAATTCCATCCTTGAGCCCCGTAGTAACACGGCTTCGACCGGAAACCCGATTGCATCTTCCGGATTTCAAGTTACAACAGAATTGCTTGGATTTCAAAGAAGGTCAGCTGCTGTGATCAAAAAATGCATATAAGCGGCGGTGTGACCGTGAAGGATTAAACTCATTGAGAATTCTCGACTCGGACTCGGCGAATTGAGGTAGAAAGAGCTTATTGCTCAAAGGTCTTGATCAATTGGGGCTCCACGCTCCTTCCCACTCCGTACGATGAGCCGCTCGTGTGAATGCTCAGATGCCGCATTTCGATAGCGAAGCTGCAATGTGACCCCCACGGGCTTTGAAGTGGGACCCCATGAAAAACTAATGTACGCCACAGCATGGGATTCAATACATGATGCGAGAGTCCCGATCGAAGACCCGCTACAAGGACTAGGGATCATCAGCGTGACTTCTCGACCATAGTTTTGGGAAGAGAGGGTGAACTATGGAGTTGAGTAAAAAGGAAAAGGAGAAAGGAATGCACAGGGTATAATTCCTCTTCTCCACAACCCTTTTCTGTCATCAGAGATATGAGCCATGATTCATCCATGTAAACACATAAATGGGCACTGGACACGAAGTTGGGCAATCATCTATTCATCGTTTGAAAAGTGTATTTAGTGAGACGGACGGATGGTGCAGATTGCATGCAGTAAGAAGAAATGATGTTGACGTTGGGCAAGGCCAATCTGATTGACCTTGCAAGCAAGACAGACGAATTAAATGGCAGGAAAAAGAAAAAAAAGTTCGCACTAACCTTGCTCTCACCCTTCTTCTAAGTTCTCACCAACCTGATTCTACAATAAGCTTCAGTAGTTAGAACTTTCGACCACCGAAATGATGAAATCCTTGTGAGTTATATTAAATGTCCGAAATTGGATTACGATGAATGAAATCAATGGATACCTAACATCATTACCCCTACATCATAATTTATCCTTTCCCACCAAAAATCCAAGAGACTTGTTAGAGAATAGAGACGTCAAACACCACCGGGATCAAAAGTTAAAAGTTCATTCACTCTGTAAGTATGTACTAGGTAGGTAGGTAGGTACAGGAAGTAGTATCTGCGACGTCTAGACGGCTCGCGTGAATCCTTTCCCTTCCCCTAGACTTGTTGAGCGACGTATTGCATCGCTGTGCTACGTATTAAAGTTAGACTTACAAGTCACAACTTATACTCCGTATATATCGATGGCTATGACTATCATCTAGCATCATCACCTGCCGTATCACTCTTACACCTAATCGACTGTACAGCCAGTACCTAGGTACGTCCCGGTGCAGAACTTCCATTTTCGTCACAGTGCCTACGTACTCTGTAGAACATCGATCCTAATGGGTTCCACGTTTTTCTTTGCGATGTACACATTCTCCGCTTTTCCCTTATTTTTCCGTGTTTAAGGAGAAATTTAACAACTAATCACGGTCAGTTCAATCGAATCCATGAACTTGGATCGGGATTCTTACTTTGTAAAAGTCTTTTCCATTGTCAGATACTTTTGCGTGTGTGTGTGTGTGTGTGTATAGTATGTAGTGCAAGGAGGGGGGGTACTACAACTACGTATAGGTCAACATTCCAACGTCTACTTCGTACTCCGTAATAACAACAAGAGTGGCTGATTTTTCTTCTTTTTCTTTCTGCTTCTGCTTCTGCTCCTGCTCCTGCTTCTAGAATTTCAGATACCATACATAACCCTGCTTGCAAGGAGATCTTGATCAACAGGGATGGTGTAAAATCACTTTCCCCTTCCTCTTCTTTCTCTTCTTCCTCCTCCTCTTCTTTTAACAGCGGAGGGGGGGGGAGGAGCGGTGATGAAAAAGAGACTCGACTAGATCTCTAAATGGGCCACCAGGGGTTTCTCGAGGCTTGAATCCTTCTCTTTCCGTAAACCTTCCAAACTTCCTTTCTGTGGGTCACATCACCGTGCCAAGGTCAAACTTCCTGGGTAAGATGTACAATTTGCTGCCGTCACCCATACTTGTACATTCAATTATTACTTTTTCAGTTGACCTCGTACTCCATATTCTGTACATGTCGGTGTTTATTTCAACTTTCTTTCTCCTTACTAGGTCGATAAGGTCGATATGGCACACGACCCACCGCCACTTGCCCGTCATTTGCCTAGGTAGGTCCTTCTTATTACTCCGGGACCCTAACCATTTGCTATATACCTCACTTCCTTCCCACATCGTTGAATACCTTGATTGATTGTTTAAAATTAACTACGTTTACTTCATTATTCGGCATATATTGTCATCTTTCCTCACTCAAGTCAAAACAACTTCAAGAGCTCATCAACAAACAAACCGTTCGTGAGAAGAAAAGAAAAAAAAGTATATTTACTCTCGGTGAATTTCATTTTCTTGTTGCTACACTTCTATCAATACATGACATCACTCTTCACATTGACATTGACTTCCTCCCATTTCATTCGGCAATTGATAAATTTTGACTTTGACGTTACCGGCCTTTCTTGTATCATCTAAAGAGAATACCCCGCCACGCTTCAACAAAGAACCTCCATCCATCATGCTGTCTTATGAGAATCGTTCCTCAAACATGGCTCAACCAACGCCAGCCATGCCAGACCATTTACCTATATCAACTTCGTCGTCTTCAAACTCATTGACAAATGGCTCATCAAGACAGCCCAAGACTGGTCATTCTCACATCTGGTTGATTACCGGTCCTGCTGGATGTGGTAAAAGCACAGTGGCTCAATATGTTGCCAAAGCTATGAACTTGCCATATATTGAGGGAGATGAGGTATATACACCAATTCCATTATTTACTACATTAAGAACGCCATGCTAATGAAAGTAAAAACAGTACCACCCGCAATCAAATATTGATAAAATGGCTCAAGGCATACCCCTCAACGATGCCGACCGTTGGGACTGGCTCACCAAGCTCCGCGACGAATCTGTTAAAAGTCTCAACTCGGGCTCCCAAGGCGTTGTCCTCACCTGCTCCGCCCTGAAGCGCAAATATCGCGACGTCATCCGTGTAGCTTCCTACTACGACCACAATGTCCTCGTTCATTTCGTGTACTTGCATGCTAGTGAGGAAACATTACTCGCGAGAGTCGGTGCTCGAAAGGGTCATTTTATGGGCGCGAATATGGTTCACAGTCAATTTGGCATTCTCGAACCACCTACAAAAGATGAGACAGATGTGATCCAGGTAGATGTTAGCGGATCGTTGGAAGAAGTCGAGCGAGATGCGTTGGCGAAGATAAATACGGCAATAAAGGAAGAATTGGCCAGAGACTCATAATCTTCGTACATTTACACCATTGCTATGTAGAAGACACTCGCAGTGGAGAGATAGAGGGCGTATTTTCTTTTCAGATTACAACACGGCGCTCGGTGACCAATTGGCGGACTAGATATCCTTCATCATTCATCTACGGTTTAAGCAATCACGGATATTTTCTCGGCTACACGGTTTGGAGTTGCTAAGGGTATTTGTTTCTTATTTTATGTGTCTACATCTACATTTCGCATACGGATCTCGGTGGGGCTAGCAAAAAAGGATTTGGCGTATTTTCTTCTAGCTGTAGTTAGACATGGGTTCTTTTACGTTGTTCATACGCATGATTTTCTTTAATGGGTGGGGCTCGGTTCATGACCAGTTGCAAGATGAGAAGATGAGAGGGAACAGTTTGCAAAGAAACAGAGCGAAAATGGAAGGAGGTGAAGGAAATATATGGTTGGGACAAGTACGCAATTAGATTAATTAAGAGTATCACGCATCAAGATTTCTCATGCAGCCATTTATAAATGGTTGAAGTCGTTCCTCGTTTTTCTGTTGATGCACACCGTTGGGAGAATCTTCACACACCATCCCCCTGATCTGCCAATTATCCTCATGCGAATGCGGGGTAGCGACCAACCCCAGAAAATCAGTCGTTATGTACCCCAGTCGGACAACGCATTCTGTCGTACGACAAGGCTGAATGAATCGTGCATGCATGATGGTATTGTAAGGGGTTTTGGGAGATACATGATATCACTTATTGGGTATCGGTCAATAAATGGCAGTCTTTCACTTTATGTACGTATGTATGTATGCAGGCATCTTTGCTTGTATTGTTTCTGTGTGCTACGCTAAAATGCTTCACAATCTTCGCAAGCTTCGCAAGTGCAAAACCTATCACCCATTCCAGAGAAATCCGAAAGCTGAGCCCGAACCCCCTCTTTAAACACCGAATGCAACGCAGTCATTTGTAACAAGTTAGTTACTTTTCGAGGCGGTTGCCTAATTCATAAACGTGAAAGCATACTTCGTGACTCTGTTTACCCAATTGGAAGTAGGAGACAAAAATATATCCTTGTGTCCGTGGGGGATGGTATCACGATCTTTGCGTATGTTGTGTTTCTGTCAACTATCATAAGGTGATGTAGAATGCAGTGTAGAATGCAGTGTAGAATGAGATCTTGTGAGCTGAAGCGAAGAACGATCTCGTGGCCTTGGATTTCTCAGCCGCTTTTACTCCGCCTCTATATATGCAAGACGTGAATGATGAGATGATGTCATGTGCGTTGAATGCACAATAGTGCATCATTTCATATGTAAAAGCATGATTTCTGGATCTTCGATATACCCTCTAACCATTTCGGCTGCACGGGCCATAGTTGCACCATCTATTACGCGGTGGTCGGCGCTCCAACTGAAGTTGATGACTTGTTTTGGAATAACATTTCCATGAGCATCGAACGCGGGGATAGTGCGTAATTTGCCAATACCGAGGATGGCGAGCTGGGAATCGACAATGATAGGAGAGAGGTAGGTGCCGCCGATGTTGCCGATATTGGAGATGGTTATGGTGCCACCGGAGAGGTGAGAGGAGGTAAGGGAGGAGCTTGAGGCAAGGGACTGAAGATTGGTGAGAGATTGAGTTATGGTTAGGAGGGTAGACGTGGATTGGGCGTGTTTTAGGACAGGAACGAGGAGACCTGTGGGAGTGTCCATTGCGATGCCGATATCGTGTTGGGGACGCATTGTCAAGATGGGCTTCTGCGAGCTGGGATCGATATCGAGCCGAGCATTCAGAACGGGGTAATGATTGAGAGTTAAAGAGACAGCTTTGATGATGAAGGGGAGGTAGGATAACTTCGCAACCCCATTGACGGGAGAGCTTGCCAGTTGTTTGTTGATACGACCTCGTACTTGGGAGAGTTTCGTAAAGTCAATTTCATCTGTGTAGAGGAACTGAGGTATGGTCAAAGACTTCGTCATGACTTTGAACATTTGCTGTTGGACAGGCGTTAATGAAGTGGTATACTCCTTTTGAAGCCCTCCAGCTGCCTCTACGAAGGGCTCCTGGGTTGTTGACGGAGCCCCATCTCTCAGTTTTGCAAACTGATGTACGTCTTCCTTGAGTACGCGGCCGTCTCTCCCTGTACCTGTCACATCTAATATGTTGACATCTAACTCCTTTGTAAGATGCCTTACTGCTGGTGTTGCCAAGGACGCATGCTTTCCTCTTGGGGTTGATGAGGGGGACCGAGTCTCGGCAGCTGGCTGAGAGGCCCCTGGAACATCTACTTTATATTCAATTGGTGACTTGTCCACGGGTTGAGCTCTAGCGTCCTTGCCAGCACTTGACCCCTCAACCGCATCCGCACCCTCTTGTTCAATCTCCCCTTGTATATCAATATCTAGGAGAGCTTTCCCCACTTGTGCCATGTCTCCAGCTTCATAGTGGAGTTTCTTTATGACACCCGAAAATCGACTGGTAATCTCGACCGACGCTTTGTCACTTTGCACTTCACATAATTTGTCCCATTCCTCCACCCGAGCTTCTGGTTCTACGAACCATTGTATGATTTCGCATTCTTTGA